AGATGTACTGGAACACCAGCAACCAGTGACCATGTGCCATTTCGCCATGGCCGAAGTCTCTCTGGTACTCCTGTGTTCACCTTGATCAACAACCACTTAGGAGTTGAGCCAGGTCGTTGTGACGATCTTGAGTCGCTCACATACGTGTTAATCTATTTCTTATGTGGCTCCCTTCCATGGTTAACAAGCGACGAATGAGAAGTTGTCCAACTCTACCATACTCGAGCTGCAAAGCACAGTGCTACCATTGCAGATATATGTCATGACATCCCCGTTGAGTTCGCCAACATTCTTATTTACACCCGCTCTCTCGCATTCGCAGAAGATCCTGATTACGATCATCTCCGCTCATTACTTAACGGTCTTCGTGCCACATTGCCTGCACCAGCTACGTGCATGTTGGATTTCAGCCAACCTGACGGTCCTGCCATACCTCCCCTTCTATCACCTGACGGTCCTTCCATACCTCCCCCTCTATCACCTGACCAGTGCTGTGTGGCCAAAGCAATCTCACCATGTCCGCCAAAGGTAGTGCGCAGATCAACTCGTGTGTGAGTAACGTTTGTTCTATATCTTCGAACCGAACTTAAACTTATTTACAAGGTTACGCCCGCGGAATGGCTCCACATGGTGTGCTGCGTCAACTCCACAGCGGAAATCGCGACCGGTTACTGAATAACGCTGTTGTAGACTACTGTACATACTACATAGTACATACTACTACATAGTACATAGTACATACGGTGTATATGTTATGAATAGCTCAGCCTCAAATGCATCATCATGTGTAATTGTGCATCGCTTTCAGCGTGGTGATTAGTAATTACTAATCGGTCTAGGTCAGGCCATTTTCCCTTCAACATGCTGCGCAGTGCACAGCCTTCAATCTTTGCGCCATACCATCATCTCAATCACCCAGAATGCTATATATCTTGCTATCGCATTTGCGCGTGCTGATCAAACAATGATCGATGATCGCCAAGGTGAGGGTCTCTGCACTTGTGGTTATTCACCACCAAAGTTTTGACTTTCACACAGGCAGCCACTGATCAGGCGACTATCACAATTCTACTTCTTGTGCAAGGTAATTGATTCATCCAACCAATTCTGATTGTATTGATCGTTAAATCGTACTCTGCGCTGTGCGGTGATTAAAATTTAGGAGTGGTAGTCACATCTGCACCTACATTGCCTTGCGATCTGGCTTCGCAATTGAAACCCTGAAGATGAAGGTAAGCTGTTTGTTACTCAAGCTATCTATCCGATCACAGTGATATAGAAAACCACACGGAACCAATTCACTTCAGGTATGTCCTTCATTGAGCGAGATTTCCCCCACCCTCACCTCCACCAAATTATAGCGGTTTGCAAGCATTCATTGACGGAAATAAGACGAAGAAGACCAATTGAGCCCACACCCTGTCACTGGCCAGTCATTTGGCGCCAAACTTGTGCGTCGCACTTTTACTGTTCGCTTCTCGCTCTCACATGTAAATGACTCAATTCTCGCATCGGCTTTGGCCTATACGACTTCTCGTGCACATTGTCGTTTTCTGGGGTTTCCCAGCAAGAACACACCTATATAGACAGACGGTTCTGTCATTCGAATGTCACCACTACTACCACAAATGCCACCTCGTCGACGTGGGCAGAACAAGGCCCGGGCAGCTGATGTTGATATTACTCTTCCCGCTGCCTCTGCTGCCATCCCCCCTGCGTCCCCTGTCCCCGCTGCGTCCGCTATTTTAGCTGCCGTCCCCACTCCCGTTGCCGTCCCCGCGGCTATCCCTGCTGCTGCTGCAGCAGCAAACGCTGCTACTCTTCATAATCCGCGTCGTCGACAACTTCCTGTTAGATACAGAACCGATGCAGCTCCTGCTGGTCCAGACGAGGGTGAAGTATTCAACCTGGACAATATTTCAGGGGATGAAGAGGAACCGGGCAATATTCCTGCACCCACCGCTGTGGCACCTGCAGGCTCTAATTCAAGCCCACTCCAGACTGTCAACAGTACCGCTCGCACGGACCCTTTGGCGACCGGCAACCTCAAGCAGCCTAAAGGGCCGACCGATATCAGTCACTTCTACCAGATTGATAGCGACACCAAGAGCAAAACCTGTGTTGCTTGCGAGTAAGTATCTTATCTGCAATTTCTTGTTGTTTCTCACGCCCTTCACCAGAAAACTTCATGAATCCGACGCAACATTCAAGGTTATGGTTTACTGCAGGCTCAACGTCCAGTTCAGCTCCCCGTATGCATGCCTTTACCCACCACACAGAGCTTTACCTCGAAGCAGCCGAGCGTTATGGCTGGCGCATACAGATCAAGGATCTGAATGAACGCCTTGCTGAAGGGTGGTCGTTGGCGACGATTCGCGAACGGCTCAAGAAATCCCCCTGCACCATGCAGTCACTTGGTCCTCCCCCTAACCAGGGGTCTGGTGCCTTGCTGGCAGGAACGAGCTCGTTAGAAGACAGAATTCCAGACTTCACGCTTGACGAAATGCATCGTCAAATTGTGAAATTCATTGTGGCTGATGATCAAGTGAGTCGCAGTTCATGCCTACAGCCACCATTAATAGTCGCCCCCAGGCGATAAACGTGATCGAATGCCCTGAATTCAGGCGCCTCATCCGTCTCCTCCGCCCGGAAATTGGTGAATCTGGTTTATGTCACCGCACGAAGGCTCGCGAAATGGTTATCGAGCAATGGCAGGAATACTTCCTGGTCTTGAAGCGAGATCTCGCAGTAAGTGCATAGTTGCCAAGCCTCATACGAAGTACCTGATTCCTTTTAGAATGCTCAAGGAAAAGTCTGCTTTTCATCTGACCTGTGGTCAGATATAAAGCTCCGGCCGTTCATGGCCGTCACGGCTCATTGGATTGCGAGGGCTAACAAAGACTCGATGCTGGTGCTGAATTCGGCGTTAATCGCTTTTCATCATATTCCCGGCAATCATGACGGGCAATCTTTGGGTTCTATGATCCTATATCTCCTCGATCGTGCAGAGACTGCGGCCAAGGTCGGTACTTATCTCTATCGTGTTGCATGCTCTGACGTTGTCCAGACTGGACATTTTACTCTCGACAACGCGGGCAACAACCACACCGCAATGCAGGAGCTTTCCAGCCTGCTTGGGGAACGCGGGATCGAGTTTGATCCTATTGAACACAGGATACCGTGTTTCCCGCACGTGATAAACATATGCGTGAAGCATATTCTTGACGAATATTCCACCATCGACTATTCCACTGTGGACGATACATGGATAGTTGAAGACCAGATCATCAATAAAGTCGATTACGTCCAGGCTGTGGAGGGAAAACCTCTTGAGCGAGCCAGGCACATCGTGCGATTGGTCCGCGCATCAAACCAGCGGCGCGACAGGTTTCGTGAGACCATCGTTAGGGGTAATGACAAAGGGTGGTTTCGAGATGACAATGGCGAGCTTACACAGCTCCCAGTCGTAGAGCTCCTCCTCGATGAGCCCACCAGATGGGATTCAACCTATGTCATGATAAACCGTTTGCGGACACTTCGCCAGGTAAGATTTCGCACCGTTAAACATATGTCGTAGACTAATACTGGCCCAGGCCATAACCGCCTTTTTTGATGCTTATCCTCAACGTAACATATCCGATAAAAAACTGTGTGAGATGGATTGGCAATTCCTCCAGGACCTGGAAGTGATCTTGGAGGTAAGTACTAATGCATTCGAACTTCGAAGCCTGTGATCTAATTTACCATTTCATACCAGGCACCCCACGCCGCCCAGCAAAAACTCTCCAGTGAAAGCACTCCCGTGCTTAGCCATGCTGTTCCAACTTTTGAAGAGTTGGTTGATGCCTGGGAGTCTATTGGCCTGCACGCACCTCACTGTAAGCCTATCGTTGACATAGGCTTACTCTGGGCGAGCAAATACACCGACCGGATGGGCGCAACCCATGCATATGCGGTCGCTATGTGTCAGTCCCGTCTTTTGTCCTAATAAATGCTGATTTCATGATCACTTTTGTAGTCATTGATCCTGCGACGCGGATGTCTTGGATGGACAATCGATGGGAGAAGGACCGTGTCGATGAAGCAAAGGAGTTTATATTGAAGCTGGTACGTCTCTGTAGTAAACAAAAGCACAACATTGGATTGACTCGTTCCGCAGATGCAGAGTAAGAGAGCGGAAAACTCTACGCATTCTCAACCTGTACTGGTTCCACGAACGGTGGCACGCACACTAGGCTCACGTCGCTATGGACTTCCCGGGGCGCATGCACATGCGCATCACCACGACGGCGGCCAAACGATAGAGCAAGAATTCACAGCATATGCTACGGCTACACTTAGTCCTCATGGAACGGATATACTTTCATTTTGGAATGTGAGTCCGTTCCTTCAAGTCACACCCTATGTTATTAACCACGAGCTGTTGACTAGGCTTCACAGTCCATGTTCCCAACAATATTCTCGATTGCTATGGACTACGCCCCGATACAAGCCTCTGCGGTGCCGTGTGAACGGGTATTTTCGTCGAGTAGCGAAACCCATACGAAAAAAAGGAATCGCATCAGCCCCGTTTTGATGGAAGCTTTACAGATGGTTAAGTTTTTCCTGAAGAAAGAACGCCTTAATTTTACGAGAGGTTGGGCAGCCTCCCAATGGGACATGGAACGTGGGGTGGTACACGACCAAGGTTCTAACGAGCAGTTGACAGCCACCGCCAGCGCAAATGACGCTCTTCTCAGAGCCATTGCTGAGGAGGAGTGTGACAATATCGAGGACACCGCTACCATTTACGACAAGTGACGCTTACTTCTTTACTGACTTTTTCATCTGTCATTTGCTATTTCGCCTCTCGCCTTTTGTTCACACTATGTTGCTCTTTGTTGTGCTGGTTTTGATTTCAATTGTTTATTTATTTTTCACCAGCCGCAGTGTGCGCCTCTGACTTCAACCCTCCAGCAAGGAGTTTTAGGACGTGCTCTTGAGTCTTGACCCTTGAGACCATGGGCGGTGTTTTCACCAAGCTCATTCCCCGCAACACAGACTCGCTGAAAATCGAGCTGTACGTCGCCTGTGGGATTTGGAATCCTGCGACACCATTTGTTACAGGAAAAATGCTCCTTGCCCGTGCTCTTGCCGCGAGCTGTCGGGCTAATGGCAAGGGAGTCTGTAAGTTGCACTCCTTTCCGTCAGCACGCCACCTCTCATCATTTTCTAGCCTTCTTCATGCGCAAGGGCGCTGACTGCCTGTCGAAATGGGTCGGTGAGGCTGAACGCCAACTTCGTCTTCTGTTCGAGGAGGTGCGTGACTGCCAACCGAGCATCATCTTCTTTGATGAAATTGATGGTTTGGCACCCGTCCGGTCATCGAAGCAAGACCTTACGGGTCTATCGACCACGACTTGTGCTCCATGGGTCTGCTGGTATGGGACAAGGCTATTTAGGAGCCGCCGCCCTCCATCATTTGGAGGGATATCATGTTCAAACTCTCGATCTGGGGACACTTATGGGTGATTCAACACGGGTAAGCTTATCTCATCCTCCTGACAAACGTGTCCTCTTCATGGTATCATTAGACTGTGGAAGCCGCTGTAGTTCAACTATTCATCGAGGCTAAAAGACACCAGCCCTCGGTTATCTACCTTCCTTCTCTCGATGGGTGGTCAGCAGCAGTTTCCGAGACTGCACGATCCACTGTCAGATCCATGCTTGACTCGCTTGCGCCTACGGACCCCGTCCTCATACTTGCCATTGTAGACGGTCCGTTTTCCTCACTACCCCATGACGTCCGTTCGTGGTTTGGTATGACCCGCGAGAATCGCCTCACACTACCGAGTCCCACCGAAGCCCAGCGAGACGCGTTCTTCTCAAGTATCATCGCGGACATCCGTCGACCGCCGAATCAGTTCGCAGATGGCATCAAACGACGAAAACGAATTCTTGAGGAGTTACCGATTGCGCCTCCGCTTGAGCCCCGTCAACCGACGGCTGCTGAACTTGCTATTCAGGAAGAGAATGACCAGCGTGTCATCACGCTACTGAAGTACCGACTCGGCCCTATACTGACGGAGCTGAAACGCAAGTTCAAACGATTTACCAAGAAAGCTAGGGTGAGTGTGGACTAGCGACTACACTTGCAATGATTAACATCCTTGCTAGACTTCGATCCAATTCCTGTGGCCAATGAAGTGGAAATCGTTGCTACCACTACCACCATAGCCATACAAGGCGAAAACGATGTAATCGACGCAGGTCACCCAGGAGCAGCCAAACGGCATCATCAACGGCATCCATCCTGATCCTCAGCCAACTGAACATCCAGCTCCACTACCGCCTTCTGTCTGCGTCTCTTCTACCCCCTACATCAAAAATATTAGCACCCGGTTCTACCACCTGCAACGATCCCCATACCCTTCATCTTCAAGATCCAACGCCGCCACCTCGTCCTCCACGATACCCGTGCTCTTTTGCTGCGTTTCTTCGTCGCGTGTGGCTCATGTAGCTGCCGTGGGGGAGAAACGCAGCACATTTCCTACTTTTCATTAGTTTTTGATCACACGCTAACGAAATAACGACTCACTGGATCTTGGGGGGCCATTTAGCGCTTATTGATCGTGCGTAGATAGTTTGATCTTCGATAATCTCACATTGTAATCTATTTTTAATTAATTGTAAATTTGTATTTCTAAATTTAAATCAAGCTAAAATTATCAGTCTGAGCCAGTTTAAAGCCGCTTACCGTGGTTGCATCAGCCGGACCGAGTCGATATTATGTAAGCAGCCTGACTTTGAAGTTCCGGTTAAACCGGTGAATCAGAACCGGCTTTAGCCGGCGCTAGCCAAACCTGCGGCAACACTACTCACCGGTCGGACACTGGGTGTTTTGTGCAATTTATATTCAAACTAAAGAACTTCACCTGTTCGACAGCCTGGCTGAGCGACAGCCGTGGAAAACCGACGTGAAGGTCAGTGATGATTTCGGCTATCCTCTGTTGAACTAACAATGATCCGAAAACAGGACATTATGAATCTTATTGCACGTCTATCATCCATCGCTCACCAACGGCGTGGCTCGCATAAAATTGATCTTAAAGGCTGGGTAGCCCGTCCACTAATAGTCAATCCTCTGCAAACTAATGGCTACGATTGTGGTCTCTGGGTCCTAGCGGCACTTGCGGCCGTCTTGCGGGGAGCACATAAACCAGGCATGTGCGAGGAGGATATGATCGCCTTCAGACACTATATACGTACACTAGTAGTCAGAATACCTACTCCGTGATATGGAATACATAACTTGTCTACAACTCTCTCGAAGACGTGCGCGGAACTGCTTTGAGTACCTACGTACAGCGACTGTCTTTGGGCTTGGCAGAACCTTGTTGGAGGGAGCTGAAAGTGAGGTGATCTGTGCGATGCAGTCACGATACCAGATATATTGTGGAGAGGAGACACATCAAGCACATTCATCGTATTTTCGCTGATGCTGGTGTAGTTTCAAGGCAAGAAACCCTTCATACATCAAGCCAACCAACTGCTTGATAGTGTGTTTGCTGACCATCGTGTAGTTGAGGAAGCCCGAGGTCAGAATTGTCAAAAAGTCACAAACTGGTCGAATTGACGTTTGAGCGACTCAGAAACACTCACAACTCAATGAAGCAATCTAAGTGTTACCAGTGTTACACAAAGTATGGTAGCTCTGCATGATAAAAGCCTCAAGATATGTATCTCATCTGAACCGGGCTGGTGAGGGCTTCAGTTCTGGCCTGTTCATAGCCATACGTTGTTCCATATGATACTGAAGAGACATGTTTTCAGTTTTGTAGGAGTTTTATACACAACTTGATTGGCTATCACAACCTCTCGGGATGATGCATCCACTAGCCCAACTAGGAGATCAGCGTAAAGGAATCTAGATCGTAACAAGGTACCCTGCAAGCATGTCTCTTCGTCTTCCATGGGCAAAAAAAAACTATCAAATGTTTCCCTTTGGGTACAAATTCTTGATTCCTGCGAGGACCAGATAGGACGTTCGTGGTAACTTCTAGAGTACAAAATGGTATACAAGAGACGTTCGTGGTAACTTCTAGAGTACAAAATGGTATACAAGAGACCCCCCTGATTACACAGCTGGACCCAACAAACCTGACATCTAGTTCATCCTCATTGGTAGCGCGAACCGTAGTCACAGTCACCTAAAGCTGGGTGAGCAGCCCGTCGATTTCTTCCTCAGAGCCATTTGAAGTTGCCGTAAGCTGAGTTAGGCAGGTGATCTGTGGAATGAGTGCGCTCATCTCTCCCCTACTGACAGGCAAAGAGGAGCGCTGGGAAGAGGGGCGCTGGGAAGAGGAGCGCTTGGATGTTGCTTTCAACCTCCAGGAGGGAGGGGCAAGGGGTAACTCGACGAAAACTTGGTGTTTCCGATGACGCGAACTTGAAGGCGCAGGAGACACCACAGGAGAATCCTCAGGTGAGAGTATCCGTAGTTTCCGCCGACGAAGCTGACGCAAAGGTGCGGGTGGAGACAGGACAAGATCTGATAGCGGCTCTGAGGGCAGCTCTGAGGGTGTCTCTGAGGGCGGCTCTGGAGAAGTCTCGGCCATTGCGAGTCGATGAAGCCCCTTCCTATCGATCCGACCATTGAGGAACGCACGCCGGCCACGCAGGTCTTGCGAATCATATTCAGGCGCCTCTCCGAAGATGATCGGTTCACGGGAGATCATGATTTGCCGGCGGGTGTTATTGTTGATGTGTTGAACGGTGATGGAATTGTTTCTGAGTGCGTCAGTGAGTAGGTCCCGCTCATGGATTGTGAGGTCGTGGATACCCTTGCTCTTGACAAGTGTTGGGCGTTTCTCGCCGGGCATGAGAACATTCTCGGGGTAGTGGTGGAGGGTGCAGCCCCGGTGGGCTAGAATGGTGGGCAGTGTCTTCCACGGAAATGTCCCCCCACGACCATCGAGCGTGCCTGTAAAATCGTTAGTAATTCAACAGATCAATCACCAAGACTTACCAAGAAGTGCATTCAGCCCGCCAATAATGCAAGGGATGCCATCGAGCTGCTTCCAATGCTCAGAATCTCTAACTTCCCGCCTCTCAAGCCACTCCGCTAACAGTGTTTCTCCTGGTATCCCGCGTTGTGAAGCGATGCGATTGAGAACTGAATCAAGTCTGGCGAAATCCATATCGCGATTCATGGCGAGATCCGTGTGTCCAATTTTTTGAGGAGGAGCAGCACAGTTTGAAGAAACGGCCAGTGAGAGTGATGGGGAAAATGCGAGGAGAACGGCCCCATCGATGGCAGAAGCACTCTCGAGAAGCCAACACAAACTCAATTGACGAAGCATCGATGTTGTGCTAAGTCAATATTTGGAAGATCAGTGACGGGGAAATATTCCCACGCAGAACACTCAACGGACGTCAACGTTGTCAACGTTCAACGTAACGTCAAGTCATTTATTATCCCACTGGAGGATCGTCGATTCTCATCTATGCAAGATCAAATCTCCGAGTTACGAGTAAGTCCAACAACATCCAAATTTTCAGTATGCTGAACAACCAGGACAGACAAGTGTCCGAGCCATGAGCATGCTGGCTTGGCGCCCATAGACTTGGAGTATTTAATTTGCTCCCTCACCAACCTACATGATTTTTCATGGCGGCTGATTTTCCCGTTTTCCTCGCATACTTCCTAACTTCTGTTCTCAGTTAGTAAGTTTGAAGGGCAATTACGCCTATACACGAGCCTCTCGGATGCCATATGTGAGCAGATCCATTACTTTCTGGTCGATCACATTCCTGACTTCTGTTTCGAAGCAGCGGATCTCTTCATCCGCGCAACCTCTCCTGTGTTTATATCTGCCAGCCAAAAAATCTTTGTGCGACCTCCCAATCCCGTGAGTTTTTTTTGTTGACAACGTGCATGCGCAGTCCTCACCAGCACTCCAGAACAAAAATTCAAAATAGTTCCTCTCTCGCGCAACATTTTTTCAGGTGAGACATTACTATACGTTGTTGTAGGACTACGCTCACTCATCCTCGTAGCCAAAAACAGTTCTTCTCTCGCGCAACATTTTTGCAGGTGAGACATTACTATACATTGTTGTAGAACTACGCTCACTCATCCTCGTAGCCATGACTCAGAAAAAACCCGGCTATCTCACGCCTGAATATGCAAGGTCCTCCCCTTTCCCTGAGTCCGTTTTGCCCGAGTCCATGCTAGATCCCACCGAAGGAGACTACCTGCAAGAACAAGTGGGCGGCGGTAAACGTTATGTGGATCCCGTCGTGGATCCAACTCCAACCCGTCTCCGGACGCGCATCAAACCTACAGCTCGAGACATGGGGCTTGTCAAGGAGGCATCCATGCGTCGTCAAGCCATGCCCGCTAATGATCAGCCAGCTGGAGGTGATTCTGGATCAGCAGGCAGCTCCCTCATTAGCGAGCCCATCAGTCAGGAAGTTGTGCACCCTCCGCAACTTTCTGTACCTGTTGCTGGTACCGAACCTCCTAACATCCGCAGTAGTCCGGCACTCGAGCCTGTGCCAGCTCATCAGGATGTACCTGCACATCAGGCTGTACCTCTTCAGGATCTATTCTATGATTCTGGCATCGCCCCTCCCAAGGTTCCTCCGCAACCAAATCTATTCACTAAGCCTGCTCGTGTCGAGTATGGGACATACGACTTTAGTGGTGATTTCGCCAGCTTTCATAATATCGTTAACGACATTCCGGGTCCCTCTACACTATCCGCCACCACCGGCTTTCGTGACATCGCCAATGGCGTCCCTGGTCCATCTACGCTACCCGCCACCACCGGACCCTCTGCAATACCCTTTGTCCCTGAGACACGTATCATACCTCCGACCCCCACTTTTCAGATGGATCCGGCGTTGGGAGACTGGGATCTTGATGATGTTCTGATGGATGACAGTGAAGGTACCGTCCCTGCTGTGAAAGGACGGAGGCAAGATGCGACGAATGACATCCTTCGCGAGGGCTTCGTAAATATGGAACGCCTCGTGCATGAGCTCAGTCATCAAACTTCCATTCCCACTCATCAAGTCATCTCATTGTGGAACAAGAGCCACGCTCGCGGCATCAACAACGTCAACCACTGGAATGCATATAGCGGCTATTTCAAAGATAATATCAAGCAGGAGCTTGACAGACTCGGTGACAAGGCTCCTGAAATACCAGGCACACCAAGTAAGTGTTTCTCTCTCTCGCTACGTTGTTTGTTCTGACAATTTTTTTTTGTCTAGGTGCTACTGTACGCCGGAACTGCTATGAGCTGTTTTAAAGCAGCGTATCCCGACACGTGGCAGACTATCCTAGAGTACCATGGCCAGTCCGTAATTCTCAGTGGTGTCCCTCAGACCATTGCCATGCGCGCACAGGAATTTCAAAAGTTTTGTAAGAAGATCATTGGAGTGGTACGCACGCAAATTTCAACTGGCAGTATTATATTACTGAACACATGTAGATGGATGGAGGGGCTGCACGGTTCGGATTTGAAGCAGCTTTGGTGACGTGTGGCAAAGTCGTTAATCAAGATGGTGGTCTCGGCCTAACTCATACAACTCCGGGAGCTGCTGGTGTAAGTTTGCTTTTTTGGTTTTCATTTGACCTCAACGTCGTATACTCACACTCGCACAGTTTTGGCTCTCGCGTTGTAAGGCTGACGATGATACAATTATCGGGCATCTCAAGGCGCAAGTGTAGTAAGTTGCCCATATCCTTCAGGGATCTTGCTAGTGACTGAGCCGCCCATATCTAGTAATTTGACATCACTCGCCATTGTCGAGGAAGCCTTCCCAGGAGACAACAGCGTTACCCAGCCAGACATGCACAACGAACGTGACACATCAATCGCTCTATCCGACACCATCGATATATCCAAGGATGGAACCAGGTGGATCAAGACAGAGATCTCTCGCCAGCTCAGTACGTGTTAGTATATCCTCCTGCTCTTATTTGCATTAATGAGGAGCAACAGCGAGCCTGGGCGGCAAATTCCTATCGTCAAAGAAGTTCCCGTGGAATACCCTCCCAGCGGAGCTCACACGGCAGGGGATGATGATAAAGGGCTACCCCGAGGATGTATTGCTCCCCGGGGAATACCATGCTTCAAAGAGTAAAGGCATTGCCAATCTCACTCTGAAGGAGGCCAGTGAGGTCATCGCGGCATTGAAGGCGGGCACCATGTGCTTGAAGAAGGTTTCGCAGGACGAGCAAGGTACATCTTCAACTTATTTCATTGCTGCGTTCCGACATCTAAGTGCATTTTTCTACAGCTGAGATTCTCACTTCTGAGCGCCCAGTAGTGGAGGGCGCACGTCCCCCAGCGGATTCTGTCCATACAGCAGGACGTCGCCTTTTCGCCAATGGACATTCTGATCGCAAGGGACTTGCTCGCGAGAAGCCTAGTAAGGCCGCCACCAAGAGGAAAGGGAAGACCTCTCAGAAGGCCCCGGCCATCCGCACTTCTCCGATCTCCCTGTCTGACGACTCTGACTCAGATGATTCATCCGATCCCCCCACCAGACCCATCGGTAGACCTCCCCCCTCTCGCGAATTTAAGGTCGTGCAGCTCCCAAAGGAACAGAAAAAGAAGGAAGTTATCTCTCTCATGTCTAGCGATGATGGCACCGCTAAGAAGGCCGACTCCGACTATGAGGACAAGGCTATGTCCAAGAAACGAAAGGCAAAGTCAGTGGATAGCTCACGAGCGGCGAAGAAGAGGGCTTCGTCTCCTGAGGTGCCTGCGCCTAAGGTAAATAAAGGCAAGGCGCCCATGAGAGCCAAGGGGCAAAACGAGAAGGTAGGGAAGCCAGGGATCATCGAGTCCTCAGACGATGAAATGCCTCGTGATGCTGCTAAACGCCTACGTGATGGCCCACCTGAACTCAAAGGTATCAAAGGTATTGTGCTGATTCATTCTCCTCTCACTGGTTGATTGACCAAATATTTAGAGCGCCCAAAGCCCCGTCCAGTCAAGCCTGCAGTCAAGCCCCTTGTAGCATCCGAGGAGGCCAACTCTACCAACAAGACCGCTGCTTCAGACCACGCTGAGCTCGCTGCCAATAATACTGCAGACCTCGCTGAGCTCACTGCAGATGCTACTGCAGACCTCGCTGAGCTCACTGCAGATGCTACTGCAGACCTCGCTGAGCTCGCTGCAGATGCTACTGCAGATGCCGACCACGCTGAACTCGCTGTCGATGCTACTGCAGATGCAGACCACGCTGAGCTCACCGACAGGCTTCCTCCACAGTCACCCTCACCAATGCGTCGCCAGCCTTCCCACATGCTCACAGACCGAGTTGTCCCTGCTGCAACCGCTCCAAGTGACAACGTTGCTCCGGTTCAGCCAGCTGAGTCCTCTCATGATGCTAACCTGAGGCCAGACATTGGTCAGGCTGATGGTCGCATGTATGGCCCACGCCAAGGATCACGTATGGAGCCGCGTTACCGGTCAACATGGAACGATCCTCCCTACGGGGAGAATCATCCTCAGGGTCCTGGCCGTGGGTTCCCTCGCTATCCGCCAGCTGATTACCAGCGCGGTTACTATGATCAACGTATGCAGCATGGCCCTCCGCCCCCTCATGTCCCCCTGCCTCCTCATGGGCCGCAGCCTCTTCAGCCTTCTCGCGGGTCTCAACCTCCTCGCGGATCTCAACCTCCTCACGGGTCTCAGCCCCCTCAGCAGTACAACGAAAATCACCAGCACGGCGGTGGATATTATGATGGTCGCTACCGTGATCGTGACCCTGGAGAGTACCGTGAAGATTATTGGCACCCCTCCAGCAACCCATATCATCGTGAAAGGGAAAGGGGAGGGTACTACCCATACGGGCCTGATTATTCTGATGATCAGACGGACCTTTGAAATCCTCCATTTTGCCGCATTCGTTGGACTGCCTTGTACACTGCGTTATGATGTATCTTGATATTGAGCCTTGTATCTGACTTGCCTTGCTGTTGATGTCCGTTTTTTGACTGTGTTGTATTTACCATACTTGTCAATGCATGGCCTGCACGGCCTTCTGTCTGTTTCATGCCTTGTTGGTAACACACGAAAAAAATCAACAATCAAACAAACAATTGAATTGTGCTATGGAAGTATGAAAAACATAACAAAAAACATATGCGCTCTGACATACACCGCATGGACATCATGCCAACATACGGAGATCAGGTGCAGAGGATCTGGAGAGGTCACCCTCGCGAGTCGCGAACATCGCACCAACATATGGTGATGTGGACATCACCTGTGGAGGATCTGGAGATGAGGAGGATGAGGAGGATGGACTCACCCTCTGCAAGAGGATCCACATGTAAACTCAGGAGGGAGATTCAGACGGCCCTATGAAACTCAGGGGAGACATCCTGATGGAGGTTGGTCTCTTAGACCTTTTATTGACAACATAAAAATAGGGTCTGACATACCGTGAGAACATCGTGAAAGTGCTGCCAAGGGTGCTTTGATGTAGGTCATATATTTTGGTTCTTCCACATTTGACTTGACAGTGGCACCACAGGCCTCTGCTACATTACCCCTACCATCCTATCTCTCGGGGCAGGCCGCAACTCGCTTAGATCGTGTCAGTATTCAATTTCAGTCAGCTTGTGATGCATAACTAAGTGTGTATCCAGTTCGAAACAGATTCTCGCCCTCCTCCCTCGAACGGTCGAGTCTCGCATTTCTTACGACAGCACCTTTCTTTCCTCATGCCAAGGCACAGCCATGGGCCATCAGTCGTTGAAGTCGCACCAGGACGGAAGGTCACTGTAACCTACATCTTCTCACCTGTCATTGCCTCTTTGCTGATTTGTACCCCATAGCGACTGCTTGCTGCCAATTTACCAGAATACAGGAAAGTAGATGACACCCGACATCCGCCTGGACAGCAGGCTGGGGTGCCGCAGGATATAGACTCATCTGACCATGATTCGCTCCCAGACGTGCACTGGTGCAAGGCGTTCCTGTGCTACTGTTCGTGCTGGTCTCACGGCAGACCGAGGGTGCCTCCTCGATGGCGCTTGGAGCGTGTTGAATTACCCTGCCCAGCTGGCACGACAAACGCTAGTACCACGCAACCATAGTGATACTAATGGTCGCAGTCAATTATATGTACTACACTAATCCACTACTGTATCCTCCACGACTGATTATTTCTACGCTATCTGCGATACTCGACGCATCTACCAAATACCATCACAGCATGACCATGAATAAATCGGATTATCATCCTCACGCATGTACTCATCCTAGCTGACGTTATCCTCCGCAGAATACTGGTCAAGATTGAAATGACCCTCATTCTACATCATCCCTTTCACGAGTTATGTTGGACGTCACCGTACTTTGCACGGACGTCGATTTGGTGCAGTAGGACACCCCGTGCTGTCATACCCTCCCCTGATTCAATGATGAACACGCGTGCGGCCCATTGCTCGCAAGGATCGTTTTGAATTTCTACTGCTTATGCGAATGTCAGACTCTATTGCGACGGTCGAGGACTCCGTCACGGAGATTAATCACCGTGTTCACCACTATCTGTAAGGATGATGCATCATGTCTGCTAATTAGCAGCAACAAGTGATGCATCAACAATGCTCATTAGCATTCTCCGGTGATGCATTAATCGATGCTAACTAGCAGACACAACTCAGGCTGGCTAGCTAGGGCTAGATAGACTTGTATCACCCTAGCCCGGCAATTAAAAAGGTTTCCCCGGCCAATTAAGAGTACGATGTTGAATCGCGATCTTGATTAATTCACAGATGCATCGCGATCTTGACAGATGATGTAATACATGGGGAACAAGGCACTACTAACATGGGGAACAAGGCACTACCAGTACTATTCATCAAGGGGGATATCGGGGATGGTTAAGTCAGGTAATTGCAGCTCGCCTTGAGGAGATATGATGGGCAGAGGTAACTCCAGCGTCTGGGGCAGGTAAGGCGCCCAAAGACCGTGAAAATGACCTGCAAGCCTCCGACGGATGTCAGCCTGTCGCGCTGCATAAGCTCGTAAGCCTTCCGTATTAGCAGAGCTCTCCCCCACACAGCGACTTATCCGTTCTTCCCACCGCTGTACCTCCCACCCAAAAAATCGGATGACTCTCCCCATTTCTTCGGTCAACAATTCTACCTCTTCCATCCATCGTAGGGCTCTTGCACGGCTCTTGCACCATTCGATGCGCACGCCTGATAACGCATTAGTTCAAGATACGTCCAAATAATGACCAGGATACTTTACCGTCATCAGCACTCTCATAGCCGTTACAATCGAGGCCCTCCATCATCCAGATCCACGAAACCTGACGTCGTCCTTCTCCAATACCAAAGGGATCCACGAGGGGCTTGATATGCTCATCCGCCAGTTCCTGCAGCTTGCCATGCCAATCCTTCTTCCCCAGCAGCATAGCCAGGGACTTAAGCGCTGTCCAAGCTGACCTGTAGCGAATAACGCACATAGTGCGCCGGGCGTGGACACGAGCGAGGGCGTTCTGGCCTCGTGTATTAGCACCTTGGCCACGCATCCATTCACGCTTGAATGTCAGAAGCGAGCAGTGTATCCGAAGACACTGACGGAGCTCCTCGAGGGCGTCGTGGGCTTGTGCATACCGTAACTCCCACTCGTCATTCTGGAGGCGCTGATCACAGGGCTTGTTCCGTAGCTGCGAAGGTAGCCACAGTGTAATATCTTCAGCATTCTTCTGATCTTCGCGCCCTCCTTGAACCAGACTCCGTACCGCAGGCATGTAAAGAACCTGGACACCCTTCCACATCTCGATTTTACGGCGGAGCGAGTTGCGCTGCCGAACGAGGTTGCCCCGTTGTGTATCAGTGGAATGAAGACCCATAGACTTGATCAGAGAAGTAAGACGACGTCTTCAAAATTGTCAGCTGGATACGAGATTCTGCGGACGGCCACTTACTGTTCATCTTCAATATCAAGACCAGCTGCGATAAGTACACTGGGCGATATTTCCGGGTGTAAGGAGACGTCTACCCCATGCGCTAGCTCTTCAGCTTCCAGCTCGGCCAGTTTTAGTCGTGCGCCCGCTTGGGTGATTGCTACATGCACCGTCAGTGAAGGATTGCCAGTAAGTAAAGCACCCACCAATAGCTTTGGTTTCGAACGGATTAAGTATTGTGGTGTCGTTAGGATTCTCTTCCCAACCTTCCATTTCACTTAGCCACGCTGCGCGATGTTCGGGAGTAATCACGGCATCAAACTCCTCGAAAGCAGCTTGGTGTTCGGCCTTTTCAACGCGAGCATCTTTCATCTTATGGAGTAAAGATGCGCCCAACCCTACCACCTTCTTCCAGTTCCAGTCACCGAAGTGGTCGTCTAGGGTGTCTCGCCGACACCCGGGGCCCATGTTCTTTGTACTCGTAGCCACGGGATTGATGTTTGACCAGCCTCTTTCGGGGGCTTCACCATCCGTTCGACCAACAAAACGTGTGAAGTTGAATGAGAAGATCGTCTGGCACTTTGCGACGTGCGCGGGAAGGTGAACTTTTGGCACGAAGAAACGTACGACCTTCGAAAGGTAATCCAAATGATGTGAACGAGGGAGGGATTCCATGCGTGACCAGAGGTGTTTATGCCACTGACACGCAATATCGTAGGACACGTTTAACATTTTGACTGAATTGTCGCGCAAGCTAGAGAAAAAAAGATAATCCATGTTTATATACCTGTGCAATGATCAGACACGTTAACACGTAAGCGTGATGGGCCCTTCGACATACTTCTCGCCCTTTTGTAGATTGCCGACTCCGTTAGCACGCTTCATGTTGTGACGTGCGCAGTCCACCGTCCCAACGCCGGTGGCAGCCAGTCCCTGCGACAATTTAGTATCGGCCATATTTACCGCGTTATGACTGGAGCATGTACTCTTCTGTGAAACAGAGTAAGAAACATGCAAGAGAGTAAAACGGCGTCGCGTACCTCCTGTGCTCCTCCAAGATGTTGGGCTAGATAGGACTTGTAGTCGGTCTCCTCCACAAAATACGACCACCCTGTAGATAGACTGGGGTCTGCCTCGTCACTCGATACATTGCGCCTCTTTAAACGAAAGTTCGCGTCAATGGCCAAAAATGTGGCGTATAACCAACTGGATCACATAAGCCCATATATATACCCAAAAGTCTCTAATGCTTACCGGTTGGCTTTCGTTGCAAGTGCCCAGCCGTCGACCAAATTCTTACCAGGCTGTGGGCAAGCCGGGCAGACAACAACACACTCGCCTTGTGATGTGCCCTTAACGCCACTCGGCTCATGACCACGACCGAACCGTTTCAACATCTTAAGATGGCGCCATTCGCGAACCATTCGCAAGAACGCATTGTAGCGGTCCTAAAATCAAAGGTTAAGACAAGCAAGCAAGTGGATACAATGACGAAGCACCTTACCTTGGGTTTTGTGAGACCCGAGTTGTCCGTCAGACGAACTAGTGAGTGGTAAAATTCGTAGGCGGACGCTTTGGACTCGAATGATAGAATTTGGAAGTGACGCAGTAGTCGAAAGGTAGCTGCAGTCCTCGGATCAGTTGCCGTTGATGGGAACCATCCATGGCGAAGAAGCTGTCTGACATGCGAGTTCGAAGTTTCACAACCACAGAAATCCAACCCGAGTTCATGGATTCCGTTTGTGTCTATTAGCACGAACTCGTCTTTGGACACCTGTTGAGGGAGAATGCAGCGTTGGCCGACAGGATGCCCAAGCTGGACACGAAGGCCAAGATCCTTCAATGACACTGCCTGGAAAAAAACCCCAGTCCATTCCTGCGGATAACTTGATTATTTTTTTTTACGTTTTAGAATGATGGCACGTACCTGGATTCGATGGGTAGGAGATCGCAAGTGATTGGCCACAGTGCACCCACGACAGTATAACTGCAAATCATCGCAATCCAAACATCGAAATTGTGCAGGGGCACAACATTCCCCACACACATCGCTAGAACTATCACCACGCCCGTCTAATCGAATCAGTTCTGCAAGATAAGTGTCTCGTTCCTCCTTCCAAACAAGGATAGGGTTATCCTAAGCACCAGTTAGTAAACAAGGATAAGTATCCTGGAACGAGAGTCTCACTGCAGCCATCTGCTTGCGCCTTTGATGCAAGGTCTCATTGTCGCCCAAAATATCATCCATGGGCATGGAATCGTCATCGGCCGTAAAACAAAACAAGTCACCTTCATCAGGTGGGGCAGACTGGTGTGTAGATGGAGTTGATGGGAGGTTGCTTGTAATGTTGCGGCGCTCGAGCCGCATTGTCCCATCACGACGCCCTCCAAAAGTTACCGAGGTGTGCACTGCCTGTCGCGACCGTGAGGTAGTGGGTGGTGTATATACATTCAACCGAATGCGCTTCTGGTCACGGAGTTGCTTCCGTTGGTCGATTTCCCGCCATGCCCAGGGCGAGCGGACCGCCTGAATGATGCTATGTGGAGGCTGCTCGTCACCACCTAATAATGTCGATGTCAGTACATATATTGCGTTTATTGTGATATTGCTCACCTACAGATCCCTCAGACTGCATCCCTTCGCTGTCGTACGTGACACGGTGACTCAGGTTTGTTACGCCTTGGACTTGGGCCAAACCAAGAGAACGGGAAAGTTACCACAGTAGACGGGAACTGCCGACTGCATGGTTGGGTACACGTGCAACTCGCGTTCCGAACCCTAACCTAGAATTAAACAATAGGTAGCTGTGTACCACAAGCAGAGCCAAATATTTGCGAGTGTTATTCAACGGTGAGCTGCCCATGCAACTTCCTCCTGCTTTCTGTCTTGCAACTCCTTGACTTCCAGTCTTGCAACTCCCTGACTTCCGTCTGAAAGATCCTCCGATTGAGTCTCCGAATCCTAGGGTGTCCTCGATGTAGCAGGTCTACTGGTTCGAAAAGCTTCAAAAGCTACACATTTTCCCAGTGAGCACCACTTAATTCATTCCAGATTCCACTCATCGTTGATTTTACTCGTCCTTTACTCATTTGGTTGACAACAATGACCACCACGAGCACGGGCGACTCTCCTCCCGTGCCTGCAGCGCCCATTGTTGACAGTCTCAGTGATACTACTGGTAAGCGGTATCAAATTTTCAAGTGGACAACTGATACTGAATCTTGGACCGTAGATTCTCTCTCTGCTCTTTTTGAGCATTTGAACATTTCAGGGCCTACCGCGGTTGCGCTGACTGTTGCTCTCCGCGGGTTCATACAGGACACTGTTGTTGCTACAGTGCGCAAAGTTACTGTGGACGCTGGTGTCAGCGTGTCGTCTGCTCCCATTGAGACATATGGCATTGATGATCCTGCCACTGCCACCCCGCCTGTTGATGCCACCACAGCTATCCCGCCTGTTGACGCCACCACAGCTATCCCACCCGTTGACGCCACCACAGCTACCCCGCCTGTTGATGCCACCATAGCTATCCCGCCCGTTTACGCCACCACAGCTACCCCGCCCGTTGATGCTAACACAGCTACCCTGCCTGTTGGCATTGGGGGTGTGGCTGCTGGCCTTCCTGCTGTGTATACTCGGCTATATGATGTTCCAGCGCCCAATGCTTCAGGGCCCTATTACTGGGTCACCCGCGGTCGCCGTGTCGGCATCTTTTCTACTTGGTGCATTTCATCCACTTTATTTTTCGTTGGATAGCTTGACCAATTCCTGACTAGGCAACGCACTTCCTCGCATGTCATCGGCGTTAGTCGGGCTTCGTTTTCCAAGGTTCGTTCGATTGCCGAAGGCGTGCAGCTGATGGAGAATGCAATTGATAGTGGGGAAACTGAGTGGTTGGTTTGAGAGTGGCACGTCGCCACCGCTTCTACCGTCTATCACAATAGTATACTAGTTGTATTGCACTTGATACTACGCTTGTGGAATTGAGAATTGAAAATTGCGTCTGCGCTCGAATAACTACTGCGCTTCAACAAACTTCGAGGACTGCACAGAGCTCAGCTGGCAGGTGGGAAGAGAAGATAAGTCGAAGACCAGAACGAATAACTACTGCGCTTCAACAAACTTCGAGATAAACTGTACAGAGCTCTGGCAGGTGGGAAGAGAAGATAAGTCGAAGACCAGAAGTCGAAGCACACCAACCAGGTTGCAACGACGCCGGTGGAGCATCGGACACCGCGGACTCGTGGAAATACACGCACACTTGTGGACCTGGACCAAGCTGCAGTATAGCTGAGACTGAAGTGAGTAAGCCACAAGTATTGAGATATGTTACGAATATGACATGTGTAGTGCTGAGGTCGTCTAGTTGTCGCTATCTAAGTTCTGTAGTCCAAAGGAATTTGTGCGAGTTCAAAAGCAGTAAGCTCAGCTAAAGATGAAAGGAATTAATAATGGTAGTTCTATGACTCCTATTCGAATTCTGTTAGTTCATTCGAGTCGGCCTATGTACTAGGTGGATTGATTATACTGAACTTAAGACAAAATGATCCATGGAATCTATGTGAAAGGGCTTGCAACAGTAATATTGTACGTCTATAGCTGGGATTCTAGTGTTTTATCCGAGCAGCCAGAAAGTATCTGTCATGATATTACTGAGGCTTGACTTCGTAAATCTCCGATTAATATCTTTTGACAAGTTGAAGTTGTTGATTCAATACTGTCACTGGCACGCTGCTTCATTGCAATTCACTGCCACTCACTCATGGCTCGCCCACGACTATACAAGACTGAAGAGGAACGGCTCGAAGCTGCCCGCCGCTACAATCGAAAATACTATGAGAAGTATAATTCCTGCACGAATTCAAGACTAAATGCTAATGAACGCAGGAACAAGAAGGCGATTGGGCTCAAGATGGCCATGAACTATCGTCACAAGAGGGACAACACTAAGTCGAAGCATAGAGATTTCGCAAGCACATCCACGGCCCCCAAGTATGTACTTTAACATTTATACCATGACTGAGCCCACCGTCAATTTGCCGATCCTTACTACTCTATAGACTGACTCGGAGTCCCTCTCCACCAGCATACGAGAACTGTGTTATGTGCGACCATTCATTCATATAGTTTCTGATACCACTGACTTAATACTATATTCTTCATAGATACAATATCAAGGACGCTCAATCCCACCTTGTTGTAATTTCTGCCGAACTTGAAGCTCTGTGCATTAAGATGGTACAGGACTTTCAAGACAACCGAGAAGCCGTACAGGCATGCCTTTCCCAACATCTTCAGACTCTGGAGCGCATCCAGGAATACTTGCGTTCTGCAAATTTGGACGACAATCATCACCCAAATGCCAGTGATCCGGGTCGCACAGCAGCGGTTGGTGTGATGTGTCGGCACAAGGCGATCACAATGGCTACAGAGGAATTATGGTGCTACTCAGCTACGAGGGAAATAGATGAAGAGATGCCTTTGAAATACATTCGCGGAGGTTTGTTATACCAGACCATAGTGTAAACTTTTGCAATGTAAGCCCTATGAGCGCAGTGGCTCTATTCCATCACTGATCTTATTAAGGCCGAGCTTCGACGTCCAGCTGCTTCGAAGGGAGGAACAGGACACAGTTCCTCTTATCGATACTCTACCATGTCCATTGTAAGAAACATTCATTTTTGCTCCTTATCCACAGCTGATCAGCTCAAAGAACATGGTGCCCGCATCCAAGCCTCAGCCTACATCTATCAAGAAGAAAAAACCCTTGTGGGAGGTTCAAGACGAATTTCTGCAGAAATTGTCACCTGAATACTTCAGGATTCGGGATGAGAAGGATCGTGTTGTTTTCTTCAACAACCTCTTTGCACGCTTTTTTGCACGATGGCCAGAGGAGCAGACACTGTTTCCCGGTGTCACTCGACTCTCTGCAGAGCAGGCTGTCGCCGTTGCTCGGTCTGTGAAGAGGCACGAGAAGGTTGTACATACTATTGTCACGCCTTCACAAACACACTGCTGATGTGCATTGCAGGGTCTATACCGATGGTTCAAATCGGCTGAAAGGCGTCGTCCAAGACACTTGCCATAGGGCCTGGGAGGCCGAATGGATCGAGTCCATCTTTGGACAAAGTTGAAGTTTCTGGAGCGTGTTTCGAAGATTTGCCATCGTTCGCTTAAACAGTTAGATAGCACACTGATGAATGTTATTTCTTGCTTCCACCGGTGATTTGTTACTATATGCAAATCATTGTCAGAAGAGCTGTACGTCCGTCTGGCTTGCATGTTGCTTCGTTGATATGTGGGTGTTTCAACAGGTTTCTCCACCGTTCACCCAACACCATTCACCCAATGTCGATGTCTCAGATCCGAGTGCTGACGCGCAAGCAGCGCGATATGCTCAAAACGTTTCTTCCTGGATATGTACTTGTCAACTCGGGGACAGCGGAAGAGACAGCATTTTGGGAGTCTGTTTACTCCAAGTGGTTTGAAACCTGGCCAGAACATGATGTTCACTATGCGGATATACCACCTGATCAATTATCCGGCCTGCAACAGGCATTGCTCAATACTGCTATTGAGCGTCGTTGCCGCGTAAGTCAGTCCCTTGCACTTGATCCCCCCATATTCATTTTTTGCGTGTGTAGAGGATTAAATTGTTCATCCAGATGAACCACTTGTGTGGGAGTTCCGACAAGGCGACTTTGCGGGCACACTTTCCCATCAGGAAGACACGAAGGTTTGCCATTCTACTCATAGACGTACGGGTTGGGTTTAATATATATCAGGGCGTAGACTTGAACAGCATATGTAGTGTGCAAAAGAGTGGGTGGGAGCGGAGGTACTAGACGGCGTCGTTATACTCGTGGTTTATGCGACATGTTGACCGCTCATGCAGCGAGTAGACAGTCCCATCGTAGACACAGTGTGGGGACAGGATGTAGTACATGCGATGCATCTTGAAAAAATAATTAGATTAAATTGGTATATATCTCGATTGTCAGGAACTGCGACTCGGCCTCATGCAGACTGGAAAGACCGAGGTATTAGGACGAAGAATGAGGTGTTACCTTGCTTACCTACCAAATATTTCTGTCTCTGTCCCCCGGATACGTTAATGTGCGTGCAGAGTCCTTTTCCTTGGTGTGTGCTGATCAGTGTTGTGACAGATGCCACAGAAAAAGTGGGCTACACCAGAACAGGAGGAATTCCTCCTCGGTCACTTTCCGGAATTCCGCAAACATGCCGTGGTCAAGCGCTACCGGGATTTTTTGAAGCGTGTTGGTATAGAATGGTTCCAACGCTGGCCCGAGCGCCAAGCATTGTTCCCAGAGTTCCCGGCTGACCATGTCTACACGGCCGAGGAAGAGCAGAAACTGGCAGCGGGCATAGAGACTCGTCATCAGGCAAGTCAGGGATACGTTCACCGCACAAAACAAACATGTACTCACCGAATCTTGAACAGCAAATTGCCTCCTGGTTCAGATGGCAGAATAATCCTATCCGCCTAGGCCGATCAGCTGCTGTAAGAGGGGTGCTGAAATTTGACACGGTGTTAGCTGGGGGTGTCAATCTGAAAGGAACCCGCGCACCGCAGAAAATTGATGTATACTCCAACAAGTACTACAAAGAAAAAATCAAGCATGCTGCAGACGACGCCATCGAGAAGGAACATATTACCAACAGAGGCCCGAAACTGCAAAAGCGCCGCGAGATCACGCGTCGTATATATTCAGACGAAAGCGAAGCTGTCAAAGCCAAGATTGACAAGAAGTATGAAAAAATCAAGGCAAGATATGTGAAACAACGCCAACGCCTAAAGTCAGGGAAGCCACCAAAAATTGACGACATGTCAAAAATCAAGTACGTACCTTTACCACATGATCGAACACGTTGTTCTCACCGCATTCATTTAATAGGGCTATTCAGGAGCTCGGTCCCATGCTTGATCGGGTCCTCAAGTACCTTAGTCATATGACAGGAGGGTGGAAGTTTAGCGTGTTGATGGGGGGTCACGATCCTAGCACAGGTGAAGTGTCAGTATTTAAGTGAGTATGAAGATTCGATACCCTAGGAAAGTTGTGCTTACGATGGATTCCCGCTACTCCAAGCTACCACGTGGGAGAAGTCGAAAGTGGTGCGCAGTTCGACCAGGTGTACGGCAAGTTCGATGCTGTGCAGAGTGCCTTCCTAGAATTTGTTAAAAATTCTATCAGTAAGCTTGAACATACTAATTCAAAGACGAAGCTTACCATCGAACTAGTTTTCGATTCTACGTCATCGCAAGAGCCTGAGTCAGACGAAGATGAAGATGAAGAACCGTTGTCGGACTTAGACGAAGATGAGGGGTGGGGAAAGAGCGGTGACGAGAGTGGGCAGGGTCTCTATCGCATGACTCCTCAATCCGATGGAGGGGTCAATCTACCTCCCAATGATAATCCCCCCAGTTACGCAAATACCACCAGTGATGCATCATTCAATGCATCATTCGGTCTCGATTCTCAGGCAGCCGCAACCCACCTGGACAACATAGACTTTTCAGTCCTTGATCCGCCGGCCGACCCCATCATAACAGGCGACATAGATTTTTCAGCGTTCGATCCGACAGCATTCCTTGCTGTGATGAACGATCCCGCCTACACTGACTTGCTCAATTCCTCCGACGCGCCTCCCGTGGATTCGCATCCCAATGCGTATTTGTCGGAATCAATCACGCAGACTCCGGAGGTCCTTCTTCCTCCCAGAAACAACGAGGAGGTCCTTCTTCCTCCAGGAAACAATGAGGAGGTCCTTCTTCCTCCAGGAAACAATGAGGAGGTCCTTCTTCCTCCCGGAAACGACGACTACACCAATGTGCCTGCTGCTCCCCATGGCAGGCGCAGAAATCGCGTCGACGGAACTCAAGCACCTGCACCATCCACAGAACAACAAGCCCCACGTCTGCGTGTACGAAACAGTGTACCATTCAATCCACGCGAACGCGACAATGAGATTGGTGCCTCAACACGTCATATTCCTACTTCCGTTGCTGCGAAGGATAAGCGGAAAAATGCCGAGAACAACTCTGGTTCGCACAAGTACGCACATCCTTTTGTGTTCATGAGTGACGCTGATATCTTCATCGCAATAGAAGGGCGCGACAACGTTAAAATGAGTAAGGTCGAGATATGTACTTGTAAATTTTATTAGTGTTTCTTGCTTGAAACGATATAGTATGCATGCAATACGAGTAATTTTCTTGATCTCTGCACAAAACGGAAGCATAAGACAAACAAGATTAGAAAAGATGATTTTCATTGGTCGACTACTACAGATGACTTCGAAGACTAGCAAAAACTTAAGAGAAATCAGGTGAACAGTGTTAGTGGGACTTAGTGAATAAAAAGTTCGAAAATGACGTCATTCTGTGCGATGGTCTTCCGATGCAGTACTTTGTATTACTATATTGGATGAGTAGCTGAGGCACCAACAACCAAAGCAGTTCGAATAGCATTACTAAGCAAAGGAAGCAAGGTACGAAAGGGAAGCGGTATGAGTAAGCAGGTGGAGGCAAGGTACAAAGTAGGGAAGCAGGGGACAAGGTATTAGTAAGCAAGGGAAGGGACGAGGTATTTCTCCTGACGGCGGCATCAGTAATACATCTTCCCTATTGGGATTTTAAAGGCATTAGTAAGCAAAGGAAGCAGGGGGCGAGGTATTTATTTTGATGCATTACTGATGCATCACTTTCCATATTGGAATTTAGCATCGTTGATGCATCACAGAATGTCTGCTAGTTGTCCTAATGTAATGCATTAAAACTACAGCATGGCCTGCTTGAAGCAAAAATATTAGGACTGTACCAGACTCTACTCCCGCACTACCTACTAGTGTACGGCGTCGAGCGGCGCATCGTTTACTCGCAAAACGTGATATAGACGAGCCCCGTGTTACCGGGAGGCGCAAACGTGCACGTGGAGAGCACGAGCAGCCTGCTGCAGCGAGCTCTGCTGAAGATCCTGGAGAGCATCAAGACGGTGGAGCAGTGCCGACTGCTAAAGACCACGCTGCTGCTATAGGAAGCAGACACTAGCGCGGGACCTGAGAGAATCAGTTAAGCTCAGTCGTCGTGCTCGTATGGCAAACATCTGATATATATTCACCTGAGAGAATCAGTTAAGCTATCGTAGCGTAAGTGTCGAGTAGTGAATATATATAAAGCTAGTAGCTTACCTCAGTCGTCGCGCTCGTATGGCAAACGTCTGAGGTGTCTATACTACGTGAGGCTCGTACTAAATAACGAATATGTGATCTTGTGCGGATGGAAATGGTGAGTACGAGGGCCAAAGTTTTGAGACATTGAGAAACAAAAGGAACAAAAGGATTCAGTAGGTATAATGCAGCTTGGGCATAAGACTGAACAATAGAAAATGATACCGAGGTGACGGGACAATGGATAATGCACCCATTATTGTTCATCGGGGCTCAGCGCTTGCTTGCCCGATTTCAACACTCCCCCTCAAGCTTAGGGATCTGCACGGGTATGAGTAACCCGCGCGGGTCACGGGTACGGGTATGGGTTGAGATTTTGAAGTTTGATGATTACTTTTGGTGCACATTCCCACTCGATCATCCAGGCCTGGATGACCGAGTGGGAATGTGCACCAAAAGTAATCATCAAACTTGATATAGTCACGTGCGATGCGAACCGTGATCTTCAAGTTGGGACAAACCACAGACCTCCACAGACCGCGTCGAATGTGAAACTTAAACGATCCGCAACTCCAGTGAGCAACTTTGGAGACGAATTGTGATGTGTCACTGACGGCCACGCGCTCGTTTCTGATTCTCAGACCTCTATTCTAGATGAAGGATGCTGCAAACAGCGCGGACTGTAATGATATACGGTTCATTGGCCTTTGATCCTCCTTACGACGGTGGGACCATCAAACTGCTGCGCAGCCTTTGTCTCCTGCCCCTGGTGTGATCGAACTCTCGCAGGGAAATTCAATCCACATCTTTCTCATACACTCATAATAGTCTTGCGCATATGGACCAGGTCATGTTGCAGATGCTGAAGACATTGATGTGCATTGTGAGGCACCAGAGAGGGCTGTTCGCAAGGCCGCCTGGGGTGGGTCAGATATCTATTTACTACATTTTGACCTATTCTATTTTTCACGCCCGAGTCCGGTGACACTCCAACAGAATGGGACCTTGTGGAAGAGCTGCTATTCTCCCAGGCGCGGACCAACGAGGCCAAGAGTGTGAAGATACGCTGCGAAACGGCTGACTCTATAACATCTCGCTTGGGCTCGTGTTAGGTCAATGATTACATGATGCAATGCCTAAATCGATAAGTGTAGCAAGAACATCCAGAGAATCGAGTCAGAAGCATGTTCCTGACAACATTCCACGTACGTGACACTGCTTTGCATGTCCAGAACCCGAAATCTGCATTGGTTCAATTTAGGACTTAGACCTTTTGCTTGATTTCATGCCACAATCCTGACATCAACCAATCAAGGACCTTGAGACAGCAACGAATATCCATTACCATCATCATGTCTATTTCGGTGATACAGGGGCTGGGGGTGGTATATCTAGCACGAACACCGTCGTTATACATCGGATCACCAAGTTCACCACTCGCTCACATACGTCCCTCAAACATGACCGTAGTTTTAAATGATCCTAGCTGGTGGCCAGCAATCTATTCGTTTCAGTTTTACAGCTATTTTGTAGGTTCGTGGTCCAGTCAGATGATGTCGGTGACATCTCAATCTAACATAAACCGTGGTCTCGCAGTTTCCTGCTCTGTTGCGATGATATACGATTGTGGTGAGTTGTTATAGCAAGTGTTTGAGAAACCGCTCATATCCGTATCGTATGATATTTTCAGTACTGACACTCGGACAAGAGGTAAGTTGATGTCCTTACCGGAGCAACCACCTCGCTAAGAGTTATGTTATAGATTGAATTGATCTGGGTGAGCAGCAGAGTCCCATATCTGAAGAACAGCAGGTAATTCAGGACAGAGGCAGCGCTGGTCCCTGATAACTGTCCTTTACCTCAGTGTGTGTATCCGATGTTATAAACGTGTTTGACAAGATGTGTTGACATTAAGATATCCTAGATACGCTACATTGGAGCACTGTATGTAATGTAGGTGTGCGAGGTTGACAAAGTGGTGTTGTGCTAATAAGCCATCTTTCGCAATCAGTATGATGGTTCTGAGTATGTCTCATATACACTGTGTTTGTTTCTTCTGACCGCCGGCACATAGATACTCCGTCAGTCTCAATATCAGACGCAGTGAGTATTCCTTACCCATGCCTCCCATTCCTATTGAATTAACTGCACTCCTATGCAGGGGTGAGTAAGATCCTCAAGGAGCATGTTGGTTGAACTTGGCTCAACGTGACGACTACAACAGATGTAAGTTTTTTTGGAGTGTTTGATCCTACGAAGGCGATCAATAATTGGGGATTTCAGGTAACATTATGATCAACGCTATGAATTGGGCAGCCGTGGGCGTGACTGCCCTGCTGGGTGGTGAGCTACCTAGCTGCACTGCAGTGATATCGACTGGACTGAAACAGCATGAAAGTCATCATGATTGCTCGGTTACATGCCATCTATCAAGGATCCAGAAGGATGCTTACCTTTCTCATTGTGATCTTCCTGGTTATCAACATTGCTTGCATAGTCATCACTGTAATGGGACTCAGAAATGTTTCAGCGGGTAAGCTTTACTTATTGGATTGAAGAACAATGCTCATTGGATGAGTACCAGTCGAGCTGATACTCTCTGGCACCTATCACGCATGCGGTATTGACGATGAGGGAGACTCCGGACTTCTTTTTTCAATGATTTGGATGCTCAACACTGCGTGGGAAGTCCTCGCACTGTCTCTTTCACTCTGGATTGCTGTAAAACATTTCCTTGACTTGCGACGACTCGGACAATCGACAGGATCAACCATCAAGGACATGTTCACAGTGTTGATCCGATCTCACGTGCTTTACTTTGCAAGGTGAGCTTGTAACGTGAACATGGTCATCCTTTTCCCCTGAAGTACTTCACGTCCTAGTTTTACTATTGTTTCTTGCCTCGAGCTTGGTACTCTCTCCCCAGTCGTATTGGTACGCATATTTGTTACTGACATCTGCTTGTGACCACTCATCATTTCTAGAACTCAAATTCCGTGGGAAGTGGGATATACCAGGGTGTGACTGAAATTTCCTCAGTCATGCAGATGTTTGTGCTAGGACCACGCCTCATCCTCAGCGTTCGAGAATATAACGCCAAGCTCGTAGCCGGCTCCGACGCAGGAACCCACATGACTTCGATTGCTTTCCAGGAGCGTGTAAATGTGTCAACTAGCAGCACGGTGTAATAGGGGAAATACTGCGGGGTGCAATTTTCATTTGGGTTTCATGTTATATTTATTGATGTTTCGGTAGATTTGGAGTCTGTGCAAACCATTGACACGTTATAACTAGCTGGCTGCGCACACATGCACCAAGTTGGACGCTAACACCATCCGTAATTGAACGTCTTGGAGACAACTTTGTCTCTCGGTACTCGTTACTCGACACGATAAGGGTAACGAGTTTCGTCACCTTGCGGGTGGCTACGCATGCATGGGTTGTTGCGGGTGGTGGGTACCAGGCAGCTATCGACATCCTTCAGACGCAACTCAATGACAGGGTACTTTCACCCATCCAGGAAGATGAACGAGACGAGCTCGGGGAGGGGATGAGGTGAAAAGCAAGTGAAGCAACTACAATTTTTACCCTGTGCCCGTCTGAGTCGTTCTAGCATTCATTTGACATCCACCAGCTCCGTGGGAGTGCCTTCCATCAACGGCAAATGCTAATGCATCGATATCCTCAACACTGAGGTCGAGGGTAGATGTATGTACTATGTCATTATCACGTTCGGTACTTTACTCTGACAGCCGTCTACAGATCATTGCAAGGGCCTGAATAAAAACCAGCCCACAATTTGCAGTCGCATGAGTGGCACGCCGATTGATGCGTGTACCTCATAATCTAAGGCGAACGTTGTAGACATATAGATCTAAGATAGTTGTGTTTTTTGGGTGGGTCTTCGGTCTTCTTCCTAAGCTGCCGCTTCCACTCTCAGTTTGGGTGGGGTTACGAGGGGGAGTTTGACCGGATTCTTCGTTTTTGTTCGAAGTGACTTGGGTAATCTGTTTCCTGCCGATGCCTCTCCTCTTGCTGCCCTCTTGGCTTGTCTGTCTGCTTCTTCGTTTCCCTCTATCCCCCTATGGCCTGGCGTCCACCTGATCATCAACTTCCTCTCATCCTCGTCTGGTAGTAGCTTCCTCAGGTCGTTGTGAAACTTGTCAACAAGGTAGTGGCCGGGTGGGGGGTAATAGGCTCCTGTGGTCCTTATTGCTGCCTGGTTGTCTACTCCCAGTGCCATGGTGCCTTTTCCTCCTGCTTCTCTCAATAGCTGGACCGCTAGTATCATCCCTACTATCTCCGCCTCATACACCGTATGCTCTTCGTTGCTTCCCAAATGGAACCTTCTCTCTTCGCACATCCTCTCTCCCCTCATTAATACTGCCGCTCCTCCCACTCCTCCATCTACTGCTGATCCGTCCGAATAGACTCGAAGCGTCTCGTTTGCGGTTTCCTCTTCACTGATTGCGTCCTTCTCTTCCCCCGCTATGCTGATGGTCGTGTCTGTGATCCACTTGGGGCAGTGGCAGATAGGTGTGGTCTTTTTCATCATTTTCGGACTTACTTGAAACTCATTCATTAGCTTGTGTAAGTGGCGTTTGCTGCCTGGGAACGCTCTCTTCTTGTAGGATCTATACACAGTTTTCAAGCCTTTGTCTAGCGAATGTGTGCTTAGGAGTGCGACCATTCTGAGGGGCTCGGAAGCAGACTTTGTGTACGGTTTGGGAGAATGTTAGCGTATGTGTCGAGTAAGTCTGAGGGAGATGATCTTAGTCCTCCGATGGGAGACTATATGCGAACGACCATGCGCATATTAACTTTGCTCGTCACAGGAATATTTGCTGGGCATGATGTCAATATCAGCAGCACGTGCTTTTGCAAGGAGGAGCCGGAATTGCAAGATGACTATTTGGATGTACAGTGGAATAGCGTTTTAATCTAGCTTGTGCCACACGTCAAGTCGTCGACAGCAGGGGACGATGAATAGAGAATAATGTTGAGAGAGAAAGGGATTTACTTAGGTTTCAAGCCAAACTCTGAGCGACGTGTCACTCACTATTTTCTCAGTTAGGCTAGAATACAAAGTCGAATACTCATTCGAACCATTTAAATGAGGAACATTGGCCCTGCATATTTTATCGACCGGTACATGCCCTCGAGCTCCCTTTTTGTCGTCGTCCATCTCGTCTTGTACGACAAATTTTACTGGAAATTCTTCAATTGTACGTATCATCTTTGACCAGCACTTACTGCGAAGCTTCCCATTTGCCTAATTTATCAAAGCGGCATCTGACCTATCTATCCATCCAATTTGTCTCTTTAGATTCCTCACTCTTAAGATCTCAACATCTATAGTCCACAGCTGCCCTGAGCTTGACCTTGTCCTGGGTCCACCACGGCAATATTGAAGGTCCGCCACCGCAGAAACCCATAATCAATCACTTGCACTTCTTAGGTACTCAAGCTTCTTCCTTGCCTCCTGGGCCTATAAAAGACAAATTTCCCGTCATCCTCCTGCCATTCTCCTCTTCTCCGAATTCTGCGTTCATTCGCTCCTCATAAACCTGTTCTCCGCCAACGTTCCTTTCCCCAACAATCACTCTCCTGTTCTCTCTCAATCCGTTCATGCGCTCTATGCAAGTATCATTGTACATTTTGTCACCATGCTGGCATAAACTGTTCCATTCTTACCCACAAATATCTAGACCCGCCCTTCCGAATTACTTTACGATTTTTCCTCGCGATAAACGCCCGATACTGATCAGCGGTCACCAGTATAGAGGTCTACGTTCAGAATATCAACATGCGCGCTCGCCGTGTCGGACTCAACCCATCAATCGAATCACGCACACCCAAGGTCTAAGGTGGGCCTTTCTGCGACCTTTCTATCTGATATGCCGTGATTCCTGGCGATCCGCGTGTCTTATCCTTGCTCTCCACTCCGCTCGAACGGTCCAGATGGATGGTATGCCAGGCGGTGCCAATTTGTCCAGCAGAGCGTTGCATTATCAGCCATCTGGGCTTCTGCCAGTCGCTGTCCCTTCTTCGTTTTTTTATCCTTCTTTGTGCTTAGACAGATGCTGTCGTGGCAGGGCCGGTACTGTTGCGCTATCAGCTGTCTGAGCTCCTACATCTGTTGCCTGTACTCCATTTCTCTAGCGCAGATGGATGATACCTCTCCAGCCATGCACAATCCCCACCAGAATCAACACGTTATACAGTGATTCGTGAAAGCCTTGAAGATGTATAACTGATCAGTCATCTAGGCTTCCACGAACCACTGTCACTTCTCCTGCCTTCTTCCTTCTTTGTGTTCAGACAGATGATGTGTGTGTGGTGCTATAGAGCAGTCATAGCGGTCTCATCCATCAGCTGTCTGGGCTCAAACACCCTACTTTCCTGTGGCCAATTTGTCCGGCCCAGATGCGTGATATCGTCAGGGGATTTCTCAACTGATGTGGGCTTTCATGGATCACGAACGCTCATTCTCCTTCGTTTGTATCTAGACAGATGATATTATCAATATATCACTTCAAGTGCCCTAATAGCGCTTGAATGCGAACCCGACGAACTATATTATGTATGTATTCCATCCTCTCATGGTAGATGCCATACTGGTACTTTGAGAGGTGCGCTCGATGCCTTCCGACTTGTAGCCTTGATTCTCTACTTAACTTTATTTCTCTACTCCCCACTCAGCACGCCTTATCCAGAGGCCGCGCATGTTCGTGATAGAGGGGCCTGTAAGTCTCCTTTCAAAATGATCATGTTCGGTATCACTGAATTGTGCTTGACTACAGACTACCATTGTCGATCACATGACTCTCTGACGGTGGTCAGCGATTGATGCCCGTGACATGCGCAACGAGAATCGACCTAGACACCCAATGATCTGACGACCAACGTCCAAACATGTCCTGTCGCTCGTCCAGGACACCAATAGTCCGCTTCCACCGGGCACTTAATTTCGTCACTCCTTCTCTGCCAGTACGGCCTACATGGATGATGAACAAAACTTCCACGTCATCGGCATCTACGAATTACGGCCACTTCTTCTTCTGCTTTGTGCACAGACAGATGATATATATGCGCAACTCTCGTGCCAGCGAGTTTCTCTCTATCAGTTGTCTGTGCCTCAGCCTATCGTGAGGGGCCTAGATGTGAACCTGATGCCGCATGGTTTTTAGCGGTGTTCTTTGTGGTCGCGTGGATGACACGCTAATCCAATGCGATTTCGATCAATGTCTGCATTTCAGAATATCGTGGAGGATACTCTCTTTTGAGGCCTAGACTTCAACAAATCATAAGAGCCCTATTAACACTCGAATGCAAACCCGACAAATAATTTTTTAGCCACATGGGTATGCTACCCCAGAGCGATTCCGATCAATGTGGATATGTCACTCAGAATAACGCGGACCCGTTACTTATGCATCATACTTGACGTTTTCCAAAGGTCACGTTCGTGGTTGCTCGTTGTTAGGTGTCACTCTGTCTTGATCTCCTCCTGTATGTATTCTAGGAACTAATTAATCTGCATCTAGACTTGTTCCTGACCCACAGGATGTTCAGCTCCACGTTTTGTATCGGAGTGACTGGAAAGGAACTGATATACATAGGTCAGGTACTAGGAGGAGTACGCAGCCGAAGCTTGGGAAATTTGAAATTGTTGAAGCGCCTTCCATGCAGTCCCATGCACGCCGACGGAGGAAGATCATCTCCTTCCTGTCACACTGTGGCTCCGAACGAGTAGGAATGAAGTGTTTGTCATGATACACAACATCAACTAAATGAATATCTGAAGCGTGTGTGAAAGGGAAGATGATGTCATGTTGGGTGGTATGGATGTTACAAACGCGGTGCTAGTGTATAGCCGCCAATTGTGAGTGATGCATATACGTTACAGAAGTTAATGGTATCAAGTTACAGATGAGGCATATTCAATATTCAAGGATGCAGGCATGATGCAAGATGTTTTTGTTGGGTAGCTCAAGGAAAGCTTTTTGATGAATGTTTCTTCTATCCATATTTCATTGCGTCCTCTGTAGCAACGTCGCTTAGTCCTGCGTTGTTGTTCATATGCATGGGGCACTTACTCGGAGATACAATCGGGCATTCGCAGAACATTGTATGGGTACGGGCAATGAATTTGACCGTGGCTCGACCCCCCGGGTTTGGTGCGCAGGAAGCGTCCCGTTGGATTCCCCGTGCTATAGTCCTGTCAGACACCAAGCGACAGTAGTTGTTACTACAAGCACTCACGCGTTCGTACATGTGCATATTATGTTTGCTCATGACGGGAAGGGATAACGATCGTGGATGCTTGGCATCAGTATCGGTAGCAACAATGGTATTTTGCGAGGATGAGTCAGAATTGGAAGACGAATGCTTGGATGGGTCCGAGCCCTTCTACAGTAACGTTACTCGTCAGGGGCCGACCCACTCTGCAAAGCGATGACACTTACAGTCCTAGCACACCTGCGTGCTGCAGATCCGTACAGTGACATATCGGAGAGATAGTCGATTGAGAGTTGTTACGAGTGCAGAGTGTGATGAGAGAAGAGACTCGAATGGAGTCCCAGATATCGTGTTTGTCCTTTAAGAGCTCGCGTTGTGGGTGCGCAGGTGGTGCTACATGCCAGTATCAGCAGTATATATATGCAGCACGCCCTTTGTCGTATGTGGCCCGGCAACAACAGCTTGCCATGGCGGTTTGGCGCTCTACCAACACGATTGTCAAATAACCCAAATGTCGGCGATAGAACCCACAAAGGAAGTGGTATGAATGAAATTGACGCCCTTCTAGATAGCACCCCAAACGCCTGCTGGCTGCCATAAATGGGACAGGAAAAAACGTGTAAGGGCTTGTGTGTGATATTTTAGTTATATTGAATTCGATATGAACGCCGGTATCAGACTTGGCGTGCTATACCAACACCAAAGACAGTTGTCTGAAAATAATCTGTTACTAACTGGAAGCAACGTTTTCCGGTTGAACCAGTCTGACATGTCCGAGTGGCGAATCTGAGGGCCATGAAGGACTTTCGATCAGAAATGAGTTCATCGCTTGCCTAGGTCATACGTCAAGAGAAGCATTGCATAGCAAACAATTTAACCTACTGACAGTGCTGATGACCGAAATAAGGCAATCGACTGTGCCTGCGGACTCGTTGCAGTGCATACATGATGAAAGAGGATGAAAGGCTCTCAAGAAACCGGCGGGAGAAGCTGTGTTCCAACTGACATAATAGGTAGGCTCACAGTAGGTCGCTTCTGCTTCTGCTTCTGCTTCTGCGTCCATAATAAATCGATATTTTCACATATACAGCAAAATAAATAGAAACTAAATTGAATATACCATTTCTAGCCATCCCACTCAGAGTGCGCCAAGTCACATTGCACTCTACTTTATACTCTCGCGTAGCTAAATTAAAGAAGATACAAAGTCTACCCAGCATTCAGTGGAACGAGAATGAGCACTCGCGTGTGTGGAAACTCATTGCAGAAATCAGCGCAAGTGCAAATTTCAAAGTCTTGTTTGGTAAAAAAGATCAACATGAGGTGAGCACCGTGAGCCTGAGGATATCTGAGTCGCTAGTACTAATTCACGGAGCCATCAGAACACATCTGGCGAGACGAAGGCCAGCGCAAGATGTCGGATTCTAAGTATTGCTGATGTAGCAAGCTGCGAGGCGTGTGTAGTAGGGTTACTAGGGAGTTAACTGCTTACATAATACACCGCTAACCCTTGTCCCTCACGTGTCAGCAGAAGCAGAAGCAAAAGCAGAAGCAGAAGCGACCTACTGTGAGCTCCCCTAATTACTGGTTACTGCACCGCATTTTTAATCTTATGCGTCCACCACACCAATGCGTTCGCCTGCGGCCAGGAGGCACCTAGCAGTACCCATGGTAGCTGTAATCGTGTGGCAGGCAATTCTCTCCGCTTGGCTGTCTCATGTTATCCAGAGGTTGGATTCAGGAATACGTTTACACCGACGACGTCACAAAATCAATGTAAGTGGCATGCGCACATAGTATATCTGGAACGAACCGCCTTGTTTTGCAAAGAGATTGTGGCTGGCACGATTTATTACTCTTGATAGGACTCATTGCATGTTGCAATTCATATAATACTCGGTTGCAACATCGGAGCGACGGTCTCGGGTGCTACCATCTCCCGCAACAATCGAGGAGCGGCCTTCCTTTCCAGAAGATCCTTATCCTTCGGAAAACAAGTTCTTCTTACCTCCTGTGTGCGGAACTTCGAAAGCAGGATATGAATTTCCCTAAAGTAACCAGAGAAGTTCGCAATCGCAGGCGCTCGTGCCTGTAAAGCAAGGCAAAGCACCTCACGACTACATTCTTGGTTAAGACGCTCAGGGCAACAGTCTTCCCGGTCTCCCCGGATTCACGCCTTCAGGGACAGCCACCGAGCGCTTTTTTATTCCCCCTCTACGTCCCATATCTTAATTTATCTACATTAATATTGTGGAGCGCAACACCTGGAATAGGAATTCCATGCGGAGCCCCGTCATTTGATGCGAGCCCGTTATTGGCCCATTGCGCCCATTCTCTTTGACGGACTCGAGCATTTGCCGGCCCCGGAATTGTTACTCAAGTGATCCCCGTGACAGCCTCCTCGAAATAACCAGCTCTTCTAACTAAACTTTAGGCTTGAATGACATAGGGACGATCAGAGATGCGTTCCAGATGCTGCGCATTGAACAAATTGCCGCGCCCGACATCACAACATTCCGTATTCTCGATCATTCATACACATTGACATCATGAAATCGTCATTTTCAATGGATGAGATACACATGGTCACGATAACTGTTGTACATTAAGAGTCGTTGAAGATGTCGTAAGCGTATAACATATATGTGGCATCATACGGTAGTGATGCAGAAATAAAACTGGAAAGTGTCGAGGCGATGGACAAAGACTAGCTCCTAGCGTTAGGAAGGAGACCTGCCTCATCAACATACGCGCTTCAAGACACGATCTGTGCAGAAACATAACAAAGTGCAGGAACAAAACTGGAAAGTGTCGAGGCGATGGACGAAGACTAGCTCCTAGCGTTAGGAAGGAGACCTGCCTCATCGACATGCGCGCTTCAAGACACGATCTGTGCAAAAACATAAAAAAGTGCAGAAACATGACAGAACAAGATAGAAGGCATCGGATACAGCATAAGCGTATCAATACACCGTGAGTCTTTGACTCGAACGGCGACCAGTGAAGACCAGCTCCTAGTGTTAGGAGACTTGCTTCGTTGACGTATGCACTTCCAAACATGATAGAGACAAAACCAGACAAGATAAAAAACATTGATCCAGCAAACTGTACGAGTATACCATAACTCAGATGGCAAAGAGTTGAAGACCAGCTCCTAGTAGTAGGAGCCTAGTAATGCCCGTTCTGGATGTGGCGCTTCAGTAAAACACATTCCTTGTGTCGACACACAAGACTCACCCGTTGGTACATCCGGGCCCGATAAGAGCCCTGAGTAACAAACATATTGGATGCAGGAGGATCCACGGCTGCGCATGGCGCAGTAGAGCTTGAGTCACCCCCATGATATTGAATGAACTCGTGAGCGTGAGCTCTCGCCAATGCAGGAGGATGATAGGTTGGTGAAAAAAGCTCTTCCATGGGTTGTGGCGGAGGACCGCCGTGGTGATGAGACGTCTTTTTCTGACCACTCGTGGGCTATACTAGACATTAACATATAACAAGCATAAGTTCACGGGAAGACTTACGCTGCGAGCGGCCTGACGTGCTCTGGTGCCAAATGTGCTCATGATAGAAAAGGATGGATTGTAAACGGGCGTTGTTTGAACTTGAGACAGAGGCAGGAAGACTAAGGGTGGCGTAGAGGATGGAGGGCGCCGAAGGGCGTCGTAGAAGATGAAGGGGTATCGTAGACGATAAAGGGTGTCGGACAAGAGAGCGTAACGGCGTCGGTGAAAAAAGACTTAGCCTGAGGAAAACCTAGTATGATATCATGGACGAGATATCTTATATAGCAGAAAGCGGCGCTTAATTAAATAAATGGATAAGGCAATTAATAGGAAAAGACTCAGCTGACACGACAACGCCTCGTGGCCTGCGTAGGGCCCTGCGTGGAAATCTAGCCGTATCAAAGTTTCTGGCTTAGCTCGGCTTCCTGTGCTTTACGAACTTGACAGTTGCCGGGAAAGTTCCCTGCAGACCCTGCAGAATAACTCTTCAGATTACTTGGCTCTCGGCATTTAGTAAAGAGCGATTGAACGATACAAAGTGTTATTAGTATACATATTCCGTTATCATGAACGCACAGCCCTAGCCCATAATGCTTGAAGAAGCGGCCGTCACTTGTCATCGTTTTGGTCTGCCCAGAGGAGACTAATCGCACAGGCTTAGTGCCGCAAGCGCTGAATGTTACAAAAATAAGTGGCTAGGCGCTAAAATGTGCCCATTGCGTACGATTCAGTGTAATTACCAAGACGCACGACGTAGGTGGCTGCCACTGGAGGCCAATGGTAGATGATGGGTTATGCAGCTGGTCCTGGAGGTTCGGATCACCTGGCATAGTATGACGTCCCCATTGTCTGTTGGGGTATGCAGTGTGCACAGGACAAAAGGTAGAGTTGCAACTGGTTCCGCTGCCACAGCAGTACGTCAAGATTCCGTCAAGATTCCGTAGTTGAACCAAACGCGTTGGATCTTCGGGAATATACGTACCTTGCCACCTGCACGTTGTATCGTGCGTGGGCTACCATCAGGAGAAGCGCGTCGCGAGCGGGATGAAGAGGTTTAGAAGTCCGTGGGCTTAGGCTTGAGGAGCAGGCGTGGGAGAAGGCCCGGGAGGCTGGACTCGATCTGACATGGACCGCCGCCACACTTCTGAAGTTCTGAACCCATGCGTGCAGGTGATGGATCCCTCCGATTGTTCCCGGAACAGAAGACTATGTATTCTACTCGATACAAGACGAAAATGAGTTCATTTCTTCTGATTCATCTGCATTGTTCTTGCGAAATAACGCAGTTGAGAATGCCGTTCTCTAATTTTGACATGACATCTTCAACCTGTAAGTGCTTGGAGTGGTGACGAGGCAATACCATTGCGAGCAAAAGAATTTCTCGCAACGAAATCTATGAAACTGACTTGAGTTCGCTAAGGAAGATGAATAATCCTGGGCAAATTAGTACTCACGGAACGTATGACCACCCTCATCAAAGTCCTTCTAGCGTTTCGAATATCTAGATATGGTGAGACGGTCTCGCTGTTACATCGTTGTAAACTGGGCAACTCAAATGTTGCAGCCATCGTTTTGGTCTCGGCGTTCTCGTGCAAGTCCACATGAATAATTCAGTATCCTTCAGCACAAAAAGTTGAATGAAGCTGAAGGACACGCTCAAGACGGTCTCGAGTTGCAACATCAGTCGGTGGTGTGGTAAACGAGCATCGAAGCGTCATCAAAGGGCGTGTCTAAGGGTCGTAGAAGGTGTGCATTGTGGACATCGTTAACAGGAAGGATGAATTCGATGGCAGTGCTGTAGGGTCCAAAAGACTGGTTTGAAGGTGAACATGAGGATGTCAAACTGTGCAAAGTGAGGCGGAGTCATAGGTCACGAACTGTCACGAAGCTGCTAGAAAGACTGTTTGTGTTTATTTGGTTTCTGTCGAGAAAGGAAGTTCTGGGCCTTCTGGAAACATGGAAAATTCCCCAATAATTCAAATCCTCATTTATCCTAGTGCCAGTGGTTGTTTCGAAAGCACTATGAATAGAAATCTAATCAGATGGGTGGAATAATAATTCGGTTCAATGCCGACTAAGGATTGATCAGATGTGCACTAGCACCGCGACTCGGAAGTCTGGCTTTCCATTGTATTAATGAATGTTTACCCATGCCACCCATCACCGTGATTCGCCTCATTGCTTTGCCACGACCTACTCCACCCCAACTCCGTGGTTACTCCTTGTTCTCGCCGCTGTGTAAAATATCCCATTTTCTCTGATTTTCTCTCCCACTTGACCTGCATGCGACTTTTCCACCCTTTCGCTTTTGTTCTCATTGTCATCTTATCATCATGCTTTGCCAATGCCAGCGTCACCGTTTACTACCAAGTTCCATTAGCAGATTCAACTACCACTGCAGCCAATGCAAATTATACCGGCGCTGCAGCTTATGATCCAACTGTGCTAACTCCCCCGCCTGTCCCTGCAGGGCTCACGACACAATTCGGAATTCAGCTTTCCAGTTCATCAGCAACCGTCCAGGGTCTGAGTATACCCCACCAAGGATCATTCATGGGATTCTCTATCGAGTTCACTGTAGTCAATCAAATCTGTAAGTCCATGTCCTATCCAGAAGTTATATATGCTAATCATAGACGCTCGCAGTCGGTGTAAATGCGTGAGTCCTGATGGGGCTACAAGGTGCACATACATGGACTCACATGTCATAGAACATATTTACAGGTTCCATTTTTAAACCTCATGGCCCTCCTCCGCGAACGCGCAGGCGAAGTGCACATTCGGGTCGGAGGTAATACCCAAGAGACTGCGGTCCTCGTGGATAGTCTTCCCGGAGGTGTAATGGTGTCCAAAGATCAAGGCACCACGGGTGATGTGGTACGTGCAATGTGCATGATCGGGTTTTGGGTAACATTCAATTGTTTCTTTCTGAATACTTCAGACTAAGACCCCAACACTTTATTACACGGCCGAGGTTTTGTACACAATGGCGAACATCTCGGCCCTTGTGAATACGAAATGGTTCCTTGGTAAGGCTCATACAACTCATTCCATACCACCAATAACATCGGCATAGGGATACCGTTCAATGACACAAGCAACCTTCGACTTGCTATCGCGGAAGTTGGCGAGGCCGTGCTGAGTGGCCCTGGATATCTACTCGGGTTTCAAGTTGGAAATGAGGTATGTCCTCTCCGTATCTTGAGCCAATCACCACTCATTCCTGCAGCCCGATCTTTATGCAGCGTTCGTAATTGTATTTTGTTCCTTACTCTAAAGCCTGACAATTCTATCAGACATTCGAACCGACCTTCCACATACTCACCCTATGACTACTTCGGCGAGTTTGGCATCGTAGTTGACGCTATCAACAACGACAACAACATTCCTGTTAAGAACAACTTAGTTGCCCCGTCTATTACAGGCGAATGGACTCCAGAATGTTCGTTTCTAGTTCTGTTTTGCGCTTGATACAAGAAACTAACACAATCTCATCAGCTGTATGGAACACTGGACTCGTTCAAGCCTATTCTTCTAGCTTAGGAGCGCTAGCAGTTGAACAGTGAGCCCTCCCTCTCTGTGATTTTCACGCAGTTTCTCAAGCTTCCAAGTTACCCGACCGATAACTGCTACGCTTTGTACGGCATTGGTTCTCCTGTCATCCCACAAGACGTGTTTCAAAACTTCCTCACCCACGCCTCTGGCATCAATATCGTTGCTCCCTATCTCAACTCCACCAACTTTGCACAAGCCAATGGGAAGCCCTTCTATATGATGGAGACGAACACAGCATCCTGTGGTGGCTTACCAGGGATTAGTGATTCCTTCGGTGCAACTCTTTGGGCACTCGATTATGGCCTTCAGATGGCTTACAGCAACTTCTCTGGCGCAATGATGCACGTCGGTGGACAAAACGTGTATTACAATGTGAGTTACATGTTCTGAACCCTTTGAAATGTTATTGAGTTACGTACCTTGTCCAGCCTTTCACTCGTGAGCTCTCCCAAGTTAAATGCAGCTGAGAGGGGGTCATAACTGACCTGTCTTGTAGCGCCTCCCACTAACCAGTCGTCTTACCACCAATGGACAATTGGCTCTATCTTCTACAGCTTCCTCTTCGCTGCCGAAGCATTCGGACCCTCTGGCAATGCACAAATTATCGACCTGCAGGCCAACAACATCAGCATGCTTACTCCTGCATATGCAATCTACGAGAACGGTGCTCCCGCGCGCCTTGTATTGTTCAATTACGTATCAGATCCGACCGGTGCGAGCGATTACACAACAACGATCTCCATCGGCGGTGCGGCGATTGCGCAGGATAACGCCACGCCTGCACAAATACAAGTCAAGTACGTATTCCATAGTCATGCAACGGCATGTTGCCCGTTGAACTAATTTCTATCTTAGGTATTTGGTGGCCCCTTCCGTCTCTGAGAAGTATAACATTACGTGGGCGGGTCAGGTGCGTCCGGTCGCAAACCTGATTTTCAATTCATTCATGTCCTTTTTAGACCTTCGGCGGGACCTTCCAGTCTGATGGCCGTCTCCAGGGCTCAGAAAATGTGCAGACGATTAATTGCGACCAATCGTCCAACACATGCCAAGTGACTGTCCCGGCCCCTGGCGTTGCACTTGTATTCCTCTCCTCCGGCGCTTATGCAGAGTCGGGGAACCCTTCGACCCAGACATACTCTACCACGATGGTGACGAAGACAGAGAACACAGCGACGATCAACCCGAGTGTGCTGGCAACCTCGAATGGGATGTCGGGAGCCACGTGGGAGCTTGGAAGTACGAGTAAGGGGACCGTTAGCGCTGGCTTGAAGAATTCGCTTTCGGTTGTTTCTCTTGTCAGCTCAGCTGTGCTGAGCACCGGACTGCTATGTACATGGTTTTGGTCATGATCTTCACGCTGATGTCAAATATTTTGGTACTAGATGTAGCACTATATCTCTGTCTGTTACGATCGTTTACGCTAACGTCAAAATTCTTGAAGCATGTTACAGCTACTACGATGCTACATGTCTATATACGTATTTGTTGTTTTGCCACGGGACAATGTATTGAATATGTATGCTTGAAGCATGGAACATTAAATCAAAATACTGCGACGAAACCGATTGATCGGCAATTGACCCAACGAAGCCGCAACTCACGTGTGCAGATGGGCCAATCGTTTCGACTCCATGAAGCCAACCATTCATCACAGGCAACGAACGGTTACCATTGCAAAAACAGGGCTCTGTATTTGTCGGTGGCGAGGCGGACAGTTGCAGAGTTGCCAGTGATATTAACGTAGTGCATGCATTATCAGTCAGCGGGACACACTTACGCAGATGACATTTCAAGATGCAGCCGCTTCGGTCGAACACTTGGGATGCTTTGGAAGGGACTCACCGGAACACCTTGAGAATCATCCGGGTTCCCATATAATGTGGCTCTGGGCAGAGTGTATGCAATCCGCGCAGTCACATCACTGGTTAGTAACAGTGCTAGAAAAGAGATCCTAGGTTGTAATGAACATCATTGATTGAGTGGTGGGGGCTGATGCCAACTTCCAAGAGCGATAAGTGTGCCGTCTGTGCCATCTTGCTGATTGCTGAAGTAAACCACCGCTTTCTGCCTGCGGATATATGCGAGGGCATTGCGGAAGTGCTGAGCGGTCACTTCGGGTATTGCAATTCTTCGTCGATGGAGGAGGCGATGAGCATTAGAACGACTGTCTTCATTCTATCAAGGTCTGACTACGGGAGACTAGATGAGCATTGAGTTCAACAAGACGCGGGAGATTGGACTCGGAGCAAGCCACCAAAAAATCCATGGTCACGTGGCGGGTCCCAAGTGCGCTGAGCTTCTGGACGCCTCTCCTTGAAGCAACGTGTTCAAACCCTTGACAATCTATAATGTCCTTGAAACCAGACCGAAGAAATCGCTCCTGGATTAACCGTTTTCTAGCCTCCCTCCGTCGAGTATTCATGTCAGAGCCTCCTCCTGGACTCCAAGTTCTAAAGTTTCACTGTCCAAATGGGCCTGATGTGAATAGCGCATCAGTGCTGGGTTGGTGTTCCCAGATGGCAGATTTTTGGGATAAAACCCATGGTAATCTGTACGCAAAGTGTGTACTGGCACGCATGGAGTACTATAAATGTACTGGTCATCCCGAACACGAATTCCTCTTGTTTTATTTCAGACATTGGATCGATGGCTGCTCCGCTCAGGCTGTAGTGTCTGCAGACCGTGCTGTACAAGTACAAGGCCGTTCCCTCAAACAATCATCTGAAATAGTCTCTCCCTCATCATCCAACACCGACGCGTACGACTCTGTATCTATATATGGTTCCCCCCGCGATGCAGTGCCACGACTTCAAGAGAGATATGCACCATACAGCAAGCTCTGTACCTTTCACTTTCCTTCATCTTCGGCGCCCTCAGCACTTCAAGTGTCCATTGTCCTGTCTCTAGTACACCGCCAGGCTCCGGCATACCACCTATACGAAAACCAATGCTATTGGTTTTCAAGCGCAGTGTGGGGCAGCTTGAAAGAGCTGTTCCCTAGTGACCAAGACTCGGAGTGTGAAAACCATCGTGCACGTTCACGTTATCGCGGGGTTGCATTAGGATCGCCGACTGAGGGTATCGAGGCTGTATGTGCTGCTTATCAGCCCGAGTGGCAAAAGATGTTGGAAATGCTCGAGCAGGTAAAGTGCCATCACGAAGCTGAAGAGGAAAAGGTGGGCTATTCTCAGCTAATATGGTCTCCATTTCTTGATGGTACTTGTCTTTGCAGAATCGACAGAAATGGGAGATGGAGCGTGAGGTCAAAAATGAGCCGTTTCGCAAAGCACAGGTGAGTTGTTTTCTCAGCACATTTGGTCTTTTTTGTTGATGGTACTTGTCCACCAGGAGGCCGAAATGGAACGAATTCGCCAAGCAGAAGTGCGCTATTCTCGGCAAAAAAAAAGTTGCCTTTGTTTGTTGATCTGTACTTGTCTTTGTAGATTTGCGCGCAGGCTGAAGTCGAGCGAGTTCGCCGAGCAAAAGTGGGTCATTCTCAGCAAACATTATCTTCGTTCATCGACGGTACTATTTCACTAGGACACCGAAATCGAGCGAAAGGTGGGTTATTCTCAGTAAACATGATCTTCGTTTATTGACGGCACTGTTTCACTAGGACACCGAAATTGAGCGAGTTCGCCAAGCAGAAGTGCGCTATTCTCGGCAAAAAAAGTTGATTTTGTTTGTTGATCTGTACTTGTCTTTGTAGATTTGCGCGCAGGCTGAAACCGAGCGAGTTCGCCGAGAAAAAGTGGGTTATTCTCAGCAAACATGATGATCTTCGTTCATTGACGGTACTATCTCACTAGGACGCCGAAATCGAGCGAGTTCGCCAAGCAGAAGTGCGCTATTCTCGGCCAAAAAAAAGCCTTTGTTTGTTGATCTGTGCTTGTCTTTGTAGATTTGCGCGCAGGCTGAAGTCGAGCGAGTTCGCCGAGCAAAAGTGGGTTATTCTCAGCAAACATGATCTTCGTTCATTGACGGTACTATCTCACTAGGACGCCGAAATCGAGCGAAGGGTGGGTTATTCTCAGCAAACATGATCTTCGTTCATTGACGGTACTATTTCGCAAGGACACCGAAATCGAGCAACTTCGCGCGAGGCTTGCCGCTTTAGATGGATAATATTTCGTATCACATGCCGTGAATTTACTATGCCCTGTTCGTGTTCCATCTCTCCTCCATATTCCATAGTATAACAAAGGGGCAATACTACGAGCTTTCCGGGCTCATCATCAGCACATCTCACATAAAGTATTTGGCTCAAAACGTGCACAACTCATGTGGTTTGAAACTGAGCATGGAGGGATTGCAGGTATGCCAATTAACACAGGTGTCCCGAATGCTCTTCGTCTTTGTTTACGATCTGAAGAACATGCGGGCTGCCTGCAATATAGAGAACTGGTTCCTATGTCGCTTCGGCCATGATGACCTTACCTCTCGCAAAGAGGTCCAATACACCATGCTGTGTCCTTGTGGATCAGCAGATAATGCTACCAGATCGGTATACTACCACTTGTTTCACTTCATCAAGACAAGCTCCGCTCTCATTCACATCCGCACGCTCTAGTGGCTTGAGGGCGTGCACCCTTCTGTAATGAATTCCTTCTTGAACATCTTGATGACTATGCCGTGAAACGCTTGAGTGAGGCACGCGAATGACACGTACCTGGTCGATTTTCAATGAAACTCTTGAACATCTCAACTGACTACATTGTATCTGGCTCAGTAGAATCGCAGATACGCCTGAAACAGAATGAGCTCAAAGTAGCGTCGCAAATTGTGCATCCTAGAATTTGTTCAATACTAGCATCTTTACCTTTTTGAGGCATCTATATCTACGAGAACCCAACTCTATTAGACCTCTCGTTGCAAGGGATATGGGTTAATGATTGCAAGTAACGTCTTGAACCACTCCGTGTCCTCTCAACCACGGAGATAAGCTTCACTCTCATGGGATGTGGTGCAACAGGAGATTCCTGCAGCCACTTATACTCCCGAAACTGTAACGCCGCGGAGATTCCCATGCTGTAAAGCTACGAGACCCCTTTCCAACGCTGTTTCCCTCCGCGGCATCAGGCTGAACTGTACCTGAAACGGGGATACAAAGCCAGGTAGCCCTACTTGGTCTTTTAGTATGGAGCGGAATGTCTGTCTACACCCTCCCTCTCGTTTTCGTTCGGACCGACAGAAATAGTAGCAGGAGTTCCAGCTCGTGTACCAGAGAAAGTTGCAGTACACAGGAGGCTGAAGTAATACGATTGTAGTGGACGCTCTGCCTTTGGCCTTGGCATCTCTTTGGATACTGCGACCAAACGGTGACCACGGACATGGGGATAGCGGAGTATCATCGAGGCTACTTCACGGCATTGCTTTGATACGTTTTGCAGATCTAGACGGAGAGCGATATCTTGCCACAGTTCAAAAGGCAGTGCTGCACAGCTGACGTTGACAGATGTGTCGTTTTCCTCCTGAGCGAACAATTTTGTGTGATTGTCCTTTCTCCTGCATCCACGGTATGCACAAAGAGCGCGGGGTCGATGCGATAGCCAAGACAAGCAAGAGCAATGATGCCCGGCGTAGAAGGGGACTCTGCGAAGAATGATGGTAAAAATTTGAGGGCCGCCGTATGACTGAACGTCGTTGTGTGTGCGTCTTTTACCACTTTGACGATTGCACAATGCGAAAAGCAGAACGCAGCTCCAAAGTAAATGCCGGGAGCATCCTGCAGTTCTAAAATTGATTTGATCAAACGTGACACAGAGGCCTGCAGGCATCGTCCGTCGCCTAGATGTGTCGTGATGTAAAGAACAGTGTCTTCACGAACCCATGTGAACTCCTTTCTGTTCGGATGCCGTCTGTGTTTGCCCGCTCATCGAAAATGATGAGATTCATAGTATGTACGGGGAAATGATTGGCCGTTCATCTCGTCCAGTATTTCTTCCAGCTCCTGTCGCTTCATTACGATGGCATAGGGCGACTGCATACACTTGAGTATTTCTACACCAAGACCCTCCGGATAAGATTCATAATGATGGCGATGGACGAAATACATATTTCGATAACGGTAGATAATGCATCCTGGAGTGCCTATGCCAGCAGCTAGAATTTCAAACATACCTGGACAACGAGTATCAAGCGTCAGGTTGACCGTTGAATGCACCATTTTTGTCGGGCACAAAGTACGAGGTACTATGCTTTCAAGTGGAGGTAGAAGTTAAGGGGGCCCGTAAGTGCTCTATTTAGAATCTCGAACTGCCGCTTTGAACTGATACCTTGAAGAAATTTGGGCTCCAAGATCGATGAGAACAAGTTCAAATTATGTAAAGGGGCTGATCCGACATATGAAGGTCCGGCGCTTGCCGATGAAGCCGTCACGTGAAATTACGTAAACCGCGTTTGACTTTGCCTGCTGCGTCCTGATATCTCAGACGAGTAGCCACCAGTGACCACGCCGCGGCACTCCTTTCGTCGGATACAAATGTACTTCATTGGTGTCCATCTCTCGACCAGCAGTGGATAGAGCCATAACGACCCAGTGGACACATATAGGTCATTACACAAGCATGATGAAAGCTACTACGTATTCGGTATCTCGGATGACGGTACGCCGTTTTCAGAAGATGTCCGAAACCTCGCGCAAAAACATCTTTTCGACTGCGGGAAAAGACCTTTGGCGAGGGTGTTCCCCAGGTTTCCAACATTGGAAATTTTGAACATCACATAGTTCGAGCCGCATGCCGGCTAACTCTCACTCATTCAAAACCAGGACCATATTAAGCTTGGGGCAGATATTCATACCATAATACGAAGCCTTCAAACTCCACAGCGCTCTGGGCTTTTGTGCGAGATTCGCTCCCCTCTGTTCTACAATGGCCGTGACCTTGAAGCAATTCCAAGCCATTGTTCAGTATCGCAATGCATACCTTCTTACATTCTCGGCGGCAACAGGATTCGTCTGCTTTGGTTGGGACGTAAGTTTACTGGGTGGTATTCTTGCGTTACCGTCATTCCAAAAGTATTTCGGTTTGCTCTCGGAATCAGCCTCTGCACGCGCTAGCTTGAGCGGGAATATTGTTTCAGTCCTGCAAGCAGGAGGTTTGTGAGTGCATATTTAAGTCTGAAAATTTACACAGTTAAAGCCACGTCATCAGCGTTGGGGCATTATCTTCGAGCTACTTTTCAAGTCGATTTGGGCGCAAGCCTAGCTTGTTAGCTTCCGCGGTCATCTTCCTCATTGGAAGTATTATTCAGTCGACAATCGGAATCGGAATGTCCCCGCACGTTGCGTTGAAAGTCTTGTACTTCTCCCGTTTCTTCACTGGCATCGGAGTTGGTTTGTTATCAGCTGTGGTGCCAACGTACATATCCGAGTGTGCTCCGAGAGTCATACGCGGTCGATGCACTGGCGCCATCCCAGTCGGAATCTCGATTGGAAATATGCTGGCTTGTGGGTGTCGGTTGTGGACCTGCAGGATTTTATCTGACAGATAGTGCATAGATTGGGTCAACTACAGCGTCTCTCGCAATATCTCACCAGGACAAATGCAGTGGCGGTTGCCCATCATCGTCCAGCTTATACCTGGAGCACTCTTCCTGTTTTCTATGCTTTTCCAACCCGAATCTCCCCGTTGGCTTGTGGAACGCGGCCGCTACGAGGAAGCAGCTGCAGCACTCGCATATATCGCGAGAAAGGATCAGGGTGATGATGCCGTCGTGCTGACTCTCAGCGAGATTCATGCCAATCTCGTCGGGAGGGACAATCGTTCCGTGCTCACACAAATCCGTCTGATGGGAGAATCAAAAACCACAGCCATACGCTGCATTATCCCCTTCATCGTTATCACATTTCAGAATTGGTCTGGCGCAAATGCGATCAATTACTACACCCCTCAAATCTTTGCGAGCATCGGTTTATCCAGTACTTCACTGACGCTACTTGCGACCGGCTTATATGGTGTTGTCAAACTCGTCATGGCATGCATAGGCTTTAGCTACACCATTGAAACCTGGGGTCGGAAGAGGACCATGGTCTATGGCGGCCTAGGGCAGGGGTTAATGATGTTTTGGATCGGTGGGTATGCTGGTCTCCACCACAATAGGGGCATTGTGCCAGCAACGTATGTTTCTATTGTCGCCGTATATCTTTATGCCGTCGCCTATTGTGTCGGCTGGGGATTCACTCCCCACGTCCTCGGCGCTGAAGTCGCCCCGGGACATCTACGTCCAGTCGTTATGTCCATCGGATCCGGAATCGATTGGCTTTTGACATATGCCACCACCCAGCTCACACCCACCATGCTCGAACGCATGACCTACCGAACCTATCTTATGTTTGGTGCATTTTCTTTCATAATGGTATTGTGGGTCTATTTCTTCCTACCCGAGACGACTGGGTACCCGCTGGAAGATATCAAATATTTGTTCGAGAAGGATATCATTATTCGCTCTCTTGAAGATGCGCCTGGGGGGCGGATCTTCCTTGGGACGCGCCGCGCCGCCACTGTGCACGAGCTGAAAGCCATGGATGCACTTTCGGCAAATAGTTCCAAGGAGGTTTTGAAGGACTTCGAGAAGCACTCGGACGACGCGCGGGATCATTCGCCGAGAAGTTCGCAGAAGCGGGATGGCGACATCATTATATGAGAGCTCCAGCGCATTTTATGGGGATTACGTGAATGGATTTCTATGTATGTGTATTGTTTTTGTTGTTACATTGTCTTACGCATACACAAGATTTCAAAGGCTATGTAAATCGTATTCTGCTTCACTCGGTAAAACAATAATTTACAGCAGGCATCGACTCAAGACTTCATTTCCCACTTTTCGCTTCTCAGTTACTAGTACTTGTTCTTGTACCTCTACCACGATGTCCTCCCTTTCATCAAAGTCATTTGAAGCGCTACAGTAGATCTCTTCTTCTATTCTCGACTGTTTCCTTCTTACGTCTTCATTCAAGATCGCCACACCTCAACAGACTGGGGTTTCCACCAGATGATGGCCCTTCGAACTCATCCGTCCGGAAATGCCGCCTCAGGTCCAGTACTACGTATACGCAGTCTCTCAGGATTAGCTCATCCAGTTTGCGGAGCAACACTACTCGAAAGCGTTGCCCGACCGCAGTACAGAGGACACTGCCGGGAATCGTGCACATTTACTTTGGCACGCAAAGAGTATTTCAATCCCAAGGTTGACTCGGTCCCTCTAAAGTGGATCGTTGTGTTCGATGGCGTTTACAAGGACGAACTCACTGACGAAACAACGTGAGCATTCCCATCGATACTACAGAGGTGCTCGCTGTGTGTTCGGATCAAGATGACTTCTTTCCATGTCGTCCTACGTAGGAAAGGATGGATTTCATAACAACGTTGATAGGGGATGCACCGCGATGGTGGGTGAGCTGTGGTTGTGCTGGCGACATTGAATGAGATCTCAGCATGAAAGCTTGAGAGTACTACGAGCAGTAAGGATGGCTTGAATTGCGCTTGTTTCCGCTGCCGGTGCTTGCATGATGTCCATATGTTACACTATACGCATGTCACGATGCTCAATGATGTTAAGTCAGAATTTGTCTGATGTATGTCTGCATTTAGTGCAGATCGACGTTGCAATGGATTGTGACTCCGCGGAGCAAAGCGGAATGTCCGCGACCTTGTTATTGAAAATCATGAGCTCTTCAGCCGATCTTCCTCTACCATAAAAAGAAAATGATAGAAATGGAAAGGTGCCTCTGCAACGTCTACACAAACTACTTCAGCAGCCGACTCGCCAGACTCCTATCACTTCTGTAGGTCGACGACATGGCTATTCGGGGTTGTCAAAGCTGCCTTTCCAGACCCGTTGTTGAAATATTGAGACCCGTCAGGGTTCTTATAGTAAAACGAGCCATCTCTAAATGAAAACACGTGAGGATCGGGCTGTTCTACGCAGTGTCAATTGCGGTGAGACGAACGAACTTGTTAGAGTAATGGTGACCAGTACCACTGCTCCCATAATCGCGTGTGCACCAGTGATTCCCCTGAGGACGGGGGTGTCGTATCAGTTAGCTACGCGTACCGAAGGACACGAACACTGGGTACCTACCTCCTTGTTGGTGCCGTGCCCGGTAATAGTGAAGTCGCACTCCGTCATGGTGTGAGCTCAGAGTATTGTGGAGAGGCGACAGGCTCAGACTAGGAACGAGGAAGAAATTCAGTCTTCAATTAAAGGACTGAGGAGAGACAGTTCCGAAGGAAGGGAAATAAAAGAATGTCGTTGAGACGGAGAACGAAAAGTCAACGTGTAGGATGAGTGCTTGTCCAGCTTCGTCTGGCTCGAGAGTCGCTGACATGATCTAGTAGGTTGGGCTGGACCGAGCGTCAGCTCGGGGTGGGACGCAGGCAGGTGGAGCCGCTGGGAGGGCGGGACATCTGCTTACGAATTCGATCATGCTAGATGACTATCGAGTGAGAGACGCCTGAGTGTGATTTTGACAAATTTTGCAATACGACTATATATACAGCGCAAATCACGGTGTGCGGATTGCAGCGTGAAAATTAGGGAGTGGTGGGTGGGCAAAAGAAAGACTGTAGGTACGAATCGATGTGAGGATGTACGAGGTACGACGAACTCGATGTCGTGGAGGAGAGAAAGAAACGGATACAGAAGCGAACAGCGCGCACGCTCAGCTGGATGTGTATGGCGTTATATCTGCACATTTAATATTTGCGCGTTCCGCAGCTTGCGCGGTGCGCGTTTTCGTCAATTGAGAGCTGGCGCGTTTTCATCAAGAGTTTCCGCGTTTCCGCCTGCGCGTTTGTGTTGATTGACACGTTTGTATTTTCAAGATTCTCTATATGAATTTAACGAGTCTTTACAAATATGATGAGACACTATAGATGGGCCAAAGCCCTCGTCAACTACTAACTTTGCGGGCGCTCTTGTGCAGTGGTGAGGATGAGAACATGTTTGCTTCATTATAAGCAGATAGTTTTTTCGGGCGGAAGCCCCGAAGGGGCGACCCGGCCCCGATAGTGGCCCCAACCTGTGCAAAAGTAAGCCGAGGTGTTGCCGAGGTGAGCTGCGATTCCCACACCAGTAGGAGTGAATGCGACGCAGCGAAGTGAACCTCGGATTCCCAAGTCGTAGGAGCCGCAAAGCGACGCATCGAGGTGAGGCTAGATAAGGAGACAGTTGGTGTCAGAAGTGGTAGTAAGATGGCATCAACATGAGCATGAGTGTGGGCATCCGCATGAGCATGAGTGCGGGCATCTGCGCCAATGCAGGCATCTGGGTCAGTACAGGCATCCGCGTGAGTATGAGTGCGGGCATCTGCGTCAGAGCAGGCATCCATGTCCATGAAAGTGCGGGAATCCCCATGCGCATGGCAGCAGTTGTAGGTATTAGTGGGGAGGCCTTGCGCCCACGCAAGGGCAGTATTCAGCGGCATAGGTGCTACAGGGACGGACTCGGGAGAATTGTATTCTCGCTCGCTGCAAGGTGTCCTGGTGACCGGGTGGATGACTCCTCCCCTTATCAGGTTCTCTGGTGAGAGACCCAACGAGAGTTCACAACGGTGAACTTCCTGCAAGAGTAAGCTTGAAAGAGCAGTGCTGCGGCACCTTCGAGTGCTCTCTACTCATGGCCAGCTTCCCCGCCGGACTTGCCTTCATTGCGTGCGGATGCACACAAGGATCTCAAAGCTCACCGAAGTTTGTGGCCTGAAAGAAAAATCAAAGGCGGCAGGCTTCAGACAGGGCGCCATAGCTCGCTGGAGTGCAGCCTGGGCGCTGCGTGGTAGACGGAAAGAGAAGCCACGTGCTGCACAGCCGCTGCGCAAAGTCAATATTCTAACCCTACGCTCGTACCTCGCTTCGGGGTAGAATTCCAACCAATGCATAGCTACGAGGTCGGCTGGTGTTCGGAAGGTAAGAGACAGCTACTAGTGCATGAATATTAGTTTGCATGAACATTTGTTTCCAGGACCGAAAGGAAACTATGTGCATGGACTGATCCATTTCGATAGCGAAGCGCAGTCACACACTGCTTTCCCCGTCACCATCAGAAACCACTACTAGGAAAGCAGCTCAGAAGAAACTTCGAGTCAAAAAGGGTTTGTCCTTCCACTACCGTGACGACTCTGTGCATCCGTACTTATTTTATTTGTTATTCTAGAATCTGCGAGTGACACCATTCCCCTCTTTTTCAACTCCGAGTCTACAAACTCACTGGCCACCTCCACCAACGCAACCTGCTCGATCCAATACTAGTAGCCATGGCGAGTTTATCATTCCACTCATTTATGCTATTTATTGTTTAATCTTTGCATTATTTTAGAAACAGTGTCGTTTCGTACTAGTCGAGTCACGGCGCCAGCTAATGAGTTACCCTCTCAACCTGACTTCGTGTCAGTCAGCGAGGCGGATGTCCTGTGGCGCAACAAAATACAGGACGACGACCCTTTTGCACCAGAATGTATCAATCCCTGGGACACCCATTATTCTATGTTGAATCTCGCCAGCCTCCGACTCATTTGAGCAGAGTCGCAATACTCTCGCACAACATTTGACAGTGACCCAGTCTACAGGCACACTAATTTGATTGTTTTTTCATTGCACATTGTGGTTCTACTACTATCCTCATCATCTCATTCCGTACTCCTACCTCGCATCCACGCGATGCATCACCTACTAATGATTTGCAGTCACGTACATGATTTCACTCGTTACCTACTTTAACCGTTGTGTTCTCGAGACTCGAACTGATAGTTGCCGGTATTGGCAATCAAGCCTTTGTCTGATCAACCTACCTTGACCATTGTGTTCTCGAATTGTCTGATCGCTGGTGTTCATGGGATGTATTTTTTTTAAAGAGCTTTGACGCTGTCAACACAACTCCACGCCTCCGAGTCATCCTCTTGAATGCGGAGGCTCCTCATCGACGAAAACGCGCACCGCGCAAGCTGCGGAACGCGCAAATATTAAATGTGCAGGTATAACGCCATAGATGTGTGCCGAGAAATTCCGGCAAGCTACATTTCTCGCGCCCGCGCCGGTCCCCGACTCCGCTACGCAAATGCAGCGCGATCTGGCTTTTGCGCAGGGCACAGATGAACTTCCCATCCATCTCGAATCTCGATCTTCTGCGTTGCACTGCGTAGTTTAACGTTTGCCAACTGAGCACAATGATCGAATGATGTTTCTCTTGTGCCAAAGTCTTACCTGAGCGAGCCATGGCTCAAGTTTTATTCAGACAAACAGTTCAACGATCAAGTTCAATTACGAAGGAGCAGAAACGTCAAATTCACGATCTGTCATTGCAGCAAAGGGCACGACAAGAGATGGCCTTGGTATATAGCTGTACAAGAACGAGCACAGTCGGTGCATACAGGGATTAATGTGGAGGGAACGATTGTGGAACATTGACAGGCAAGGACATCTAGATGAAGCAAACATACAACTCACCTGTCCCATCCGGCAAGCCGCACATATCTTGGCAACACCTAATACCTGTTCTCGTCCTCGCATCAGTCACCTTAAGTGCACCTTCTGTCTCTCTGCCTCGGTGGCCATACCGTAAGGATAGTATCGTGCTGTTGATGAGATTCGTGATTGATGTGATGGATCTGTGATTGATATCTGATGAATATACTATGACACTAACCATCCCGGGAGGCAGCTGGGAGGAAAGAAAACTCAGATACATTAGCTAACAACCGTGCCACGAAACTCAAATATTATTTGTCGCACTGGTTCGTTTATGATAATATCACGATTACTCATGAAACTGATGCAGGATCCATCACGGTATTCAAATATTCCGCGGATTGTAAATATACTTTGCTTCGAACGAGGCCTGGCTTCTCACACTAACATCTTTCTACTTGATTTCATTCGACAATAATACTTGCTGTGATCAGTCAAGATTCTGATTCGAGAATCGGACATCCAACCTGATCACTATAAAAGCGCTGGGTGGTGGTATATCTGCACGGACTCCTTACGCCCATCCCGATATGACCTATGTCTCAAATGATCCCAGTTTTTGGCCAGTCGCGAGTGCCTTTCAATTTTCTAGTTATTTTATAGGTTCGTGAAGAGCGAGTGGGATGACAATGGTGACATCTCACTTCATTGTCTGTGGTTTCGCAGTTGCATCTTCTACTGCAGTGTTATATGATTGGGGTGAGTGAGATAGTACTTTCCGAGTGGAGCATTAATATATATGCGGTATACAAGCATTAACATTCGGCCGGGAGGTAATTTGATGTCATGACTTGCGCAGCCATCTCACTTAGAATGTTTGAACAGTTGGAACTGGTCTGGGTGAGTGACGTCCTATATCAAAAGAAAACAAGTTGATGCAGTTGAATTTGGTCAGAGGCGACGCTGGTCTTTCATGACTCTGCTATATATCAGTGTGAGTAGCTCATCTTATAAGTGCAGTTGACAAGTTGTGCTGACTTTAATATATCTAGGCGCGCTATTTGGGAATACTATATACTGTGTATGTTTGCGAGGCATGTTTAAATGATGCTGCGCTGTGCTAATGAGCTATCTCTCACCAGTGTCAACATCCTATGTATGTGCCCCCAAATATATTCATTTCTTCTGACTGGCGCCATCATCCATACAGCGAATGTCCCAGTCTCGTTGACAGATGAAGTGAGTATGCTGCACCGACTCGATGCCTGCCATTCCTACATTCGATTACTTACTGCACTCCTCCATAGGGGTGAGTGATATCATCGGTCACCTTATTACGTTGAATGAACATAACAACTACAACAGCTGTAAGTTCATTTGAAGTTTTAAATCAATTAATATGCATCTGTCACTGGGTTTTCAGGTACCATTTTGTACTACGTATGGACATGGGTACCTGCCGTCGTCAATGCCATGCTGGGTGGTGAGCTCATCTGCAGCACCTACTGATACTGATTTGACTGAAATGTCATGCAAGTCATCATGATAGCTCGGATACACGCTCTGTATGGGCGCTCCAGAAAGATACTCGTCTTTCTTGTTGTTGCCTTGCTGGCTTGCACGACTGGCTCCGGAGTTATGACGGTAATGGCAACCGTGGGTGTTTCAGGAGGTAAGCTTTGATTATGGACGCAAGCCTCGAGCATACAAGACTCATGGATATGTACCAGAGGAGGTCATCCTTTCTGGCTACCGCTCGTGTACTGTTGACCTTGACACAGACGGGGTAGATCTGCTTTACGAGAGTTTGGTACCAATTGCTGTATGGGAGATCCTCACCTTTTTTCTTGCAGTCTGGAGTGTCATACAACACTTACGTGAACTGCAAAATTCTCCAACACAATCGACTATTGGGGACTGTTTCACGGTGTTAATAAAAAGTCACACGTTTTACTTTCTAGTGTGAGTTCGGTGATTTGGATGGTGTTATCTTGTTTCGCTGAAGTTCTGCATGTGCCAGCTTTGTTGCCGTGGCTTGCCTCAACCTTGGCTCATTGTCTCCAAATATCACGGTGCGCTGACTTGTGACTGACTCATCTGCATCTGACCACTCCTCATTTCCACAGTACTCATTTACCGTGGGATCTCGCGTCTACGGCGGCATTTTAAGCACTATCCAGGTGTTGCAGATATTTGTACTGGGACCACGTCTAATCCTCAGCATTCGTCAATATCACGCCAAGCTCGTGGCAGGGTCCGACGAGGGAACAGCCATGACGTCCATTGTTTTCCAGGCTGGTGGAGATGCGTCGACAGGCGGAGGTGTGTCGATGGGCGGAGATGTGTAGCACTGGAAACCATCCAAGTGATCAACCCCGGTATTGAGGAGGGAGCGTACATATGTTTGATTTCGAGTTTCGTTGTGATGATTTGGAGGATAGGAACTTCATCGGGGTATTTATTCGGTGTTCCGAAGTGACTGGACTCAGAGGATAAAAGTCGTACTGGAACTGTAACTAACTGTCCACCCATGCATGCACGAACATCTATGATATATCGACTTGTACGAATAGGTTTATATATTGACTGCGCGTATCTGAGTTAAATTTTGTTAGCGTCATCCGGATCAATGAGAACATCGTCTCGAGGCCTGACTCTTCACCGTCGAACGCCATAGCAAGATGGAACGATCGAATATCTTCACGACTCGGACATGAGCGAGTCCGAGCGCCATCATAATGATGATGAGACTTTGGCGTGTTTGTGTCTGACAAGACCTTCCCTTACTGACGTAAGAGTCGGGGATTAGGTAGGGTGGCTTTGATGATGGTGGTTTCGTGGGCTCGGTGTTAGTGAATCAAGTCTTACACTCATATCACTGACATAGCTTCTTGATCACCTGGACGTGTTCCTGTCTTATCTGCAGTCATGTAAACCGCATTTTCCCCAAATAGGTCCTACTTACTACAATTGGCCCATCTGAACCTCAGTGATCGTTTTGAACAATGAATGCGATTATTTCTACCGGTTTCCATCATCTCGACTTGCGAAGTCGATAAGCAAGCCATGAGGGGTGAATGATGACCAATGTCCGATAAGCTGAAAGTCGACGATCACCATGCAAAGTTCGATTCAATGGGATTAAACTGGGGTAGAAAGCGGTTTCCATCTGTGAGTTGGGTTACAGTACTTGAGTGGCCAGCCGAGGCTACTCATCAATGCAGCAGGGAATTCAGACCAAAAGGAACATCCAGCTTAACGAGGGCACCTGGGAGCGACGCCGGATTCCTCAATAGGCAGTAATGATTCAGGCAGGCCCATAGATGTTTCAAGCGCAAAAAAATGCATTCATGCATCGCTGACATTTACCAAAGTAACGACTTCAACCAGACTAAAAGTACAAAAGAAACCTGCGAGAGAATTCGGATTTGCTCAAGAACCTAATATACGTCAGAAGCTAGTTTTCATATTATTAGAATATGCAACTCACCTAAAATCACTTAGAAGAACTGTTGGATTTATGGGTGTTTCCGCTGGGAGAAGTGTACTGCGAGTAACCTGAGCCGGTGTTATAGTAAGTAGACCCGTTCGGGTTGCTGTAGTAATAACTCCCGTCGCTGCCATATCAATCAGCACCGCCGGCCAGTAATCACTCAATCTGAACGCACGAGTTGGAATAGTGGTATCCAGTACCGCTGCTACCGTAGTCACGCGAGCAGTAGTGGTTGCCCTGTGAAAAGGTGATCTTGTCAGTCATTGCCCCTAACTTGCAAGGCGTGCACTTACTTGGTCATTGGTACCATGGCCAGTGTACGTGTAGTCGTTTTGTTTGCCAGACATTTTGAACGTATGAGAAGAAGTGTTAGATAGCGGGAAATGCAAGGTAGGTAGTGGACTAGTGTAAGATAAGTTAGTGGTAGCAAAAGGGCAGTCCTTTTATCTGGGGCGCTGTTTGTCGGAATTTGTCCTTTATTTGTTTGTGCAAACAAAATGTTCAATATTGCCCCTGTATGGCGATAATCTTCTGTCAAAAGTAACCATGTCACGCGACAACTATCGATATCCAACACAACAATATTTGTGAGCATAAATATTAGAATGCTCAAGGAGCATGTATATGTTGCGCATTGAAGGCGTCACAGAAGACTGGGATGGCCACTCGAGCCGTCGGTGCTACTTTGAACGTGGTGGCGTCGAGAAGCTAAACTTTGTGGGTCTCCAAGTGGCGCAAATGGTATGCCTTTTTGGGATTTATGCACATGCAAGACGAATCGACGATGCATGCGTTGAGCAGTAACCATGAGTTTCGCAAAACTTTTTTCAACACTCTCGTTGACTGATGAGGATATTCCTCCTCGCTCTACGACGCGCCCCGCAGGCAAACCCAAATTTGTCAAGTTTCTCCATGGGGATCATGGCGAAGGCATGCCAGAGTCTTTCTTCGAGGGTGAGTGATTTAACTTTTTTGAGGACGAGTCTTGAATATGTTATTTCCAAGATCCTCGCACATTCAAGCCGAAACCGGGCCCACAAGGGCAGATTCAGACGTGGGGCATATTTCCGGTATATATATCGCCTACCAATTCTTCCGAATCAGTTGCATTGACATGTACAGTACGAAGCGGATAATATCTGGGATTGTAAGCAACTACTCTGAGTTTAGTGGATGTTATATCCTGACTCTTCAAACTAGTCGATGGAATCCAAATGATGTATAGAACAGTAAGTCTATACTAGGGATGATTTTAATTGTCTTGTTTATTTGCCCTTAGATGGCGCACCAACTCTCGTACGATAACAACAGTGGAAAACCCTGGCCTGAGAAGCAATTCTTAGAAGTTCTAAAGGATCGCAAGGTAGGTACGGTTGCAGGCGACCCTGTTCCGTACCTGACTTGCCATCGTCCCGCAGCGCGAGCAGCTCAGAAAACTTGATCTTGCAGATCTTGACAAGAAGGATATTGTAATCAAGATACACTTGAAGTATGTTTCTCATATCAATGATGCCCCACACGCTGACATGCTTTTCGAAGGTTTTCGCAGGATGCTAATGGCGACCCCCGCATATGGCGCCGGGTGCGCCTCTCAGCTGGTATGAAGATAGGCGTATTCCAGGACAAGGTCCTCTCGCCCGTCATGAACTGGTACTTGATCGATGTCTATACTTCTTTTGCAAACTGATGCTATCGTTTTCTGTAGGGTACGAAACCTCCACTGCTACACGTTCACAGATGTCAGAGACGGCGCTGTGTTTGGTCCCGAGGTAGGCTGGGCCGTTTTCGAACCATATTCTATCTCTGATTACATGTATAGGATGCCAACGCAACAGACATAATGCATATCAACCAGGCAAGTGAACCCAGGAAATATGAATATGTTTGGAGCTTCTGACAACCGGACTAGGTCGGATATGATTATCTTCCGGATGACAAGTAAGAGCATAATCTCATCACAGTTGTTCGGATTGATGCTAACAATACTTAGATACATGCTCGCCCATCTGTTCTCGGAAGTAGGCGATACGTTTGCGCATTTGTATGACTATGGGGACAAGTGGCACCACGAGATCGAGGTATGGTCGAGTATCTTGTTCTTTACCGGACCGATTTTACGTCAATCAGATCGAGCAAATTTTCCCTATCGAGGAGTCGTATGGACGTGTCCAGATACTCGATGGCAAGGGAATGTGCCCAGGTGGTATGCTACTTTGCTAACGTACGCGATGTTCTACTTATCAAACCATCGTCCAGAAAATATGGGAGGGTCATACCAATACCAAAACTTCCTCAAGGCTTACGACACTGATTCATATATCGAGCAGTATGTTTTCTGTTTGTTTTATTTTCTTTGCTGAACATCTCTCCAGGGTCAAGAAAAGGCGCCAAATTCTTGATTGCCCGAATTACAAAGGCTTCGGCAAACCTCCTTCTCTGTTTGACGTAGATGCATTTGACATCAAACAGGCTAATGAGCGACTCACCGCGGCGCTTAGTTCGCCTAACTCAGTCAGGGCAGGCATGAAGGCGTTCACCATGCCCATCAACCCCAGTGGACCCGACCCCAGGCTGGGCAAACTCAAGAAAGGTCAGAGTGTCCAGCGTGAATGGGACCACGAGAGCCACGGATATTGGGAGGAGATAACATCCAGCACGAAGGATAAAAGGAGCCAGTCGGCTTGTGCCGCTTGTGGAAAGCCTGGCGGCCAAGATCTTAAGACGTGCAGTGGTTGCAGGGCCATTTTGTAAGAGTTTCTGAACAAACTAGGGCGACGTGTTGCTGAACGGAATGCCGTATAGGTATTGCTCTGCTGAACACCAGAAGGTATGATTAAGGCAATTGACAAGTCGTGTTGCTGACAAGTATGCTCTCAAGGTACACTGGAAAGATGTGCATAAGAAGCAGTGCTCTCGCAAATACCTCAAAAAGTGATGCCATCTCATCTCATCCCATCCCCAGTGTTGGTTACTATATCATTCCTGCATGGAACAAAGTATAATGTAGATATACACTATCTATTCCAAAAAGCGACCGATTTACACAATCGACCATGTCGCCCACTCGTGTGTGATACTACCCTCGAGCTTCTTGAATAATTAAATAACACCAACCCACCGAATAACGATCTAGTGTTCGAACGTAGACCGCCGCCAGCATCAGCGGAATGCAATGTGTCTCGTTCGTTCAATCACATGTAGTAGTCACGTAGGTGTATGATAATCCCTGAGGCCTACTATATGCAACTGCTACAACGTACAACTGCAAGGAAGCTCCATGATATATCTCGTTGCAACCCATCGCCATTCACGCTCAATGATAATCTCCTATCCCATAACCCACCCACCACTGTGGTGCATACCCCATCAACTCTGTAATGGCGTCCATCTGTGCCTGTGTAGGACGCCTTTCAAAGGAACGATCTATATCCGAGCACACAGCGAGCACCTGAACGTCGACGATCGGATTGGCGATAAGTTCGTCTTCGTCTATGTGGTCACGGTTGAAGCCGCGCATGCCAAATGCATCGAGCCATACAGGAGGCACCGAGCCATCCTGGGGCTTGAAACAGGTCATGTAAAAAAGTGGCAGGATGCCCGACCGAGCTAAAATGAGCATGTGTGCTTGCGTCATGGCATCGATCTCGTAGTCTCTGTCATTGCGGTCGCGCAATGCTTCTGGACATTTTTCCTCAGCTAAACGGACTAGGAATTCAGGGGTAGCTTCATATCCGTAGAACTGGATATAAGGACGACCTATGCACATATTGATGTGCAGCATCTTCGGTGGACGGACAAGTTTGAAGGGTCGTCGTTGTCGTTTGACGAGTCGTTTTCGTCTCACGGAAGTGGCTGTAGTGATCTTCAGGTTGTTAGAAAGATGGTAGTTGTAGTTGATGTGAGAAAATATTCACCGTTAGAGCTTCAAACAGCTTGGAAAGACGAGAAGACATTTTCGTTGTGGAGAAGCCATGTCAAGTCGATCTTGAGTTTATATAAGGTGCAGAACAATGCAGGCTGAAGTTGAAGTCCGCGTCACATTTGAGCGAACACGAGTTGTGGACAAAACGCCACTAACAGTGGACTTTTCATGTGTCAAATGTCCACCGAAACCTACAATTGCTTCCATGCAGTAGTTGCCTGGGAATCCATAGACAATGCATGGCCCGAGGGCTCCACACTGGTTGACAGGGGAATCTCTTGCTCTGGAAAGTGGACATGCTCCCTGATTCCACCTTATGGCGGTTGCCGCAGCACATTTTCAACAGCGGCAAAATCAACTGCAGCACTCTAATGAACATGTTGTGGTAGATTCTGCACGCTCAAACACTCACCTCAAAGACAACTGTCGATTTCGGCCGAGGTGTGATGGAGTGGACACGTTCTACAGGGGATCAACAGCACACGTAAAATGAGAAAAGTACCTGAATCAACCATCTCCCAAGTACTTTGGAGACGGTTGTTGTTGGCGTGCAAGGTGGTTTTTACGAGTCAAGAAACGTTATGCATTGCGATGAAGACAGTATCAGCACATGGTGATAAAGAAACATGGTAAAACAACAACAGGAGGTCTGGCCGTGTCAATAAATTACCATGGCAGATATGAGAACAAGGATGAACGGGATAGACAGAAGAGACAACACAAAAGATGAAGAGGGAGAGAGAGATGAACGATGAAATATATAGGTGTATCCAGTGGATGACTGGCTTGATTCGCAAAAGTGACAGGACGTTTGTGATGCTTCAGGGCTAGTGAACAACATAAATGAAATCATTATGGATGTGAATCCAAGAAAAGGTCATGATTCAAACGTAAATGAGAAAATGGGGACTGTAAAAATAGATAGCAATGATAATTTCCCGATTTCGAACCTTGGTACCCAATGTTGATGAGTTCATGCCTTGTGGATAATATCAAAAACCAACAACAAGTCGAATAGATTGCGCCGCCGTCGTCCAGCCGGGTCGAGTGGTAGATACAAGGAAGTCTGTTCTTCATGTTGGTACAACAGGGATTCCGCATGATTGATGAAGAATGAATGCGTCATGAAAAGTGTATTAGACGTGAGGGAACCAATCGGCAAGTTAAATCAAGTGCTTGCTAGGTCGATACTAGCACCAAGGACGCCGCCTCTATCATGATGGATGTCAGTGAAACCGCTGACGGCGCTATGAGCGCTTTGGTAGTGGTGCCGCTGCTGGTCTTCTTCAAAAAGCTTTCTGCCAACGTCCGCACGCAGATTAGCACTCAGACCAGATTTGAGAGATACTGCTGCGCGCGGCGCGGACGTAACGGCAGGGGAGAGAGAAACATTGATAAAGTCATTGAGATTGAATGGTACATTGCCTGGAGTGGGTGGGGCGTGAAGACTGTTCGATGGTGAACCCGAATAACCGTTGGAAGTATCACTGTGCCTAGAAGGTGAAGGTGGAGATGGTAACAGCGGTGAGGATTCAGCACCCAAAGTTGGGGCAGGCGGAATGATTGCTGGCTCTAAGGATGGAGCAGGCGCGAGAGATCCGGGGGAGGCGGCATCCAATCGCAATGGCTGGCTCAAAGGCTGCGTACAGTCTTGGCTAGAGGATAAAGCCTCTGAGGTAAAGCTGCGCTCTCTCAGCGAGCTTCTAGCGTCCTGGCCTGCAAAAAGGATCTTTCCCTTAGTGAGGAGAGATGTGGAACCACTTCCAAGGGCTCTGTAGGCTGCGAGATCTTGAGTATCCCTGTCCCGGGTGGTTGTAGGGCGGGCCGGCGATGGCGATGTATGCAGATAAAGCATGAGTTTAGCTGCCTCTTCATCATCTGCACGAGGCGTCGAATAGATGTTGTCGACTGAGTTACGGGGTGGAGTAGCTGCCCGAGGCATGGTAAATGATGACTCGGCTGATGACAGCAGCGAAGTCGCTGCTGTCGTTGTGCGAGCAGAACTTTGTGCATATTGCGACAAAGACTGGAATGAACTCGCATCAGACGCGGTGGAGAGCGTCGACCGCGGGGATGACACGCTAGCTACAGAAGGACGCGACTGGAGGAGCGATGTCAGAGTAGCCACAGCTTGCCTCTCTACATCCGCCGAGTCCGCTACGGACGCCTTTTGCTTGCCCTTGTCGGCACGTTTGGGTTTGGAACGAGTCGTATCCTCCTTGCGGCTACGCGATTGTGCACGGGTGCTCTCTGCTATACTGCGTAGGCCAGACGCACGGTCTGATCCTCGGGACCGAGATCCGGCAGTCGAGCGAGCGGCTGCCTGGACAGGAGGGTCTGTTGAGTTGCGCACCGTTCTAGCCTGTTTCGACGGAGGAGGTCCGAGCAGTGTGGAAAATAGGCTCTGAGTCGCGTTGGGACTGGAACCTGTCACAGTCGTGGGATAGTGGGAACGAGGAACAGATAGGGCAGAAGTCGCAGATACGGCGGGAGGGGCCATAGCCCCACGCCGTGCGACTGTGCCCTGTGTGGCGGGGTTGTTGTAATAGTTATTACTGGCAGTGGCCTTGCGCTTGGTGCCGATCAGGCGCGGTGGGGCAGCAGCCAGGGCACGGGTTTTCGCCTCGAGGTCAGTCAGTTTGACATGAGGGATATTGTGGGTAGCCTTGTATGAGGCATATGACAAGCGGGCGCGAAGATTGCGCGTCACCTAGGAGAGGAAGACAGGAGTATGTTAGCATTCTCGTATTATATCACGACCGCGCCCCACACATAGCAATCTCAGCGGGGGATCCGGTATACGAGCACCATAAAGTAGACGATATTCTGAGTGCCCTTGCACACTGTTGGCGCGCATAACCCCCCGCCAACGCGTCCCGCGCAGTGCTCAGTCTGAAATGAAATAACTCACCATCGAAAGTTCCGTGCTCGCCATGACTTTCTGGATGGCTTTCAGCCTATCCTCTTTCTCTATTGGATCCACATCCATCGATGTAGAAGGGCTGTAGGGCTGTAAGTAGGTCGTTGGAGGGGACGCTGAAGTCACCGAAGACGACGGAGTCGCCATAAGGAGCGCGTCGCTGGAATTTCTGGTGATTATATACAGAATAAAGCACAATATATCACAGCAAGAGTGCTTGGGTCGTCAGCCTTGAACTGAGGACCGTTACAGATGACCAAGATAGGGAGTTGGTCGCTGTGTGGGACGTCGAGGAGCGCGTTAAGGAATGGAGCACGCGCGACGACGCGCTAGTCTTATTCATCCGGATTCCCACGGGTTAATTTACCCGAACCCGCCGGTTTGTGCCTGTTTTTACCTCCAAATAGCTAATAATGGTTTAGAATTCACATAGAAATATTCTTCGCGTTCAACCTTAGAAAGACACCTCTCGTGCAACGTTCTTATCTACACTTTCCTTTACGTTAGTAGGGAGCGTGTAGTGCGTCCTGGACGGAAAAACGCATGGTTGAAGTAGGCCATGTTTGATCGGTGGGGATCGGCCGCTTGCACGACATGGGATTGAGATAACATGATACAAAGTGGTTGACGCGGCAATATAACCGGGGTTCACGTGGGCCTAAAAGACCTCTCGCGGGAATAGCTGTAACCTAGCTGGCAATTATGAGTTTGAATCAGATGAGCACATGATTCACGAATGCCCATATTGGCTCATATCTTCCATCCAGAAGGCACTACAAGCGTTCCTACCTTGGACGACGCTCCTTCACTCCTTGTTTGGGCTTTCACTTTGGAGTCGTTCGTGGCAGCGCCACCCATTTCTTCCCAATACCATCCTGGAAGAAATCCCACGCGATCCTCCCCCCCTTCGACGTCCCTGACATCTGCATCGTCTAGTAAAACAGCAGAGACTCCTGTCTTTGGCGTGAATTTGATACGCCAAACATTACCCCTTGAGCCTCCTCTGATAGTATTTTTGAGGAAAGATAGAAATTGGTCTCCCCATGCTAGACAGACGTTGGGATCCCAGGCACCAGGCTTTCCCCGAACCAGACGAGGCATCTGTACAGTCTGGAAGACTTGCGTAGTCGTCAAGTATCCTGATGGCTTCCTAAACCCAACGAAGACCTCCTGTCAGGCGGTGTATTTATAAGAAAGTCCTGATTCAGTGTCATGATTTGCATACCGGAACTCCTAGTAGAAATGACTGAAAATAGAACTTCAAAAGTTTTCTGTCGCATAGCCTCAGGAAGTGTAGGTGTTTGAAACGCAGATATCACTTACTTTTCAAACTTGGCTTCGTCTTGTGGGCCACGAATGGATAGTGAAGTTTTGAGTTCCACGAAGTTGTCAGTATTTCCCGCGTATTTTCCTGTAATATTTAACATCTCTCTATTCTATTGACGCAAACCGACACATACCTCGAACGCAGTCTACTTCTCCGCCAATGATGATCCGTGTGTCACCCAACTTGGTCTTAACAACACTACACCACTGAACATTAGTATCAACATCGCCGCCCCAACCAACAGCGCTCGAGGAACCAGAAGAGGAACCAGAGGCGCATTGTTCACGTCCGCTGGGAGTAGACGATGTGCAATACGATTCAAATGAATATCCATAGTAAGACTGAAGTCGATGCCGAGGTTCCAGGTCGCTCCTTCCTCGACGTGAGCGAGACGCACATATAAGATGGGAAATACTTCACTTTTCCTTGAGTTTTACATCTGATAGATGTTCCTCAAAGTATATAGTACCGTCGACACACATCACGTTGAGCTCCCAAGCATCTCGCTCTTCGTAAGGTGCCGTCAATATTCTCCCTCACCAAAATCATTCCCAAGGTAAACAAAGATTACACACGTAAATACAATGGCAACTCACTTGGTGATAACCCCTCTCCAGCTTATCACTCCAATCTCCGGATTTTGCCCGTTGAGACTTTTCCTGAACCGTGACCACGCGCTCAGTAAACCATCGATGCGTCCACGTTCTTCCGGGCGCCGTGTCCAATTATCGTAACCATAATTGAGATCTGCACCATGCGGTGGATTGACGAAATAGCGCAATGCAGAGTCATCAAATTGTAGAACGCGAGAGGGTGAATACGAAAACGTGAGAAGCTGACTAGGGCGCTGAAACGCGGGTGGATGTGAGGTTGGATGTGAAAGGCTTGGGAAGGCAAGATTATAATCGCTTTCTATTTTGGCTCTAGCCACCTTTCCAGTTGGTGAAGGATCATCCTCTGCAGGCCGCTTGAGACCCATTAGGGTAGTTATTACTTAACTGGTCGACGGTGGTGGTCAAGGTTGCAGGACCAATGCAGGTGGTTTGTTTGGTTCAGAAGCTTTTGCCAAACAACAGCCCAAGTTGGAGGTAACACGTGATAGGTCAACGCAAGTATAATAATATAAACATTCTCATTTGGCAACGACGACAACTTCTTGAAGCCTGAATGCTAGCTTAAGGTGTATTTTGCCCTAAATCGCACAAAGGCTCGTTAAATGGCTCATCTCCGTTTTGTGCCGTGAAACTAATATCGGGGAAACGTGTTGAACAGCCGTCTTGAATTAATTTCAGTGCACCGATGCCTCGTTGAAGTTCGAAATCTTACGGTTCGCGCGCGCGCGGGCCTGCTGCGAGGTTCAATCTTATTCATTGCCTCCAATAACAGCAAAGAAATGGACTCCGTTGCACTAGGGCTGTGTAATGAATGCTTACCCAGCATCACAATTGCCTGAACGCTGGAGGGTTGTCGAACGCCCTAGTCATGCACGAGCCCGGACATAGGATGCCCACGACACATTTTACCATCACGCGCATGCATGAACCTGGTGAGAACGGCGAGAGTCTAGACGCGGACCTTTTTAGTATAGTCGGGCGGTCCATCGGGCTAATTGGTCCAAGGAACTCTTGGCCGAGTCCTGTCATCGTACTAGCGCTTGCTTCAGCGCCGAAGGCTTGAAGTTGAAAATTAACCCTGCTTGTGCAGGTAAGTGTGAGTCACAAACTGCACTCAGTGCTCACCAAGTTGGTCACTCCTCGGCATCCATGTGAAAAATGCCGTCATCAAACTCCTTAAGTTACCATATAGTAGCGTCGAGACGTGTCATTCATTCAACATTTTACCCGAGCTCGCCAAGCCTAACATGAGCTGTTCGAATTCGATCCTTGTTGTCGCATCGTCACTAGTCCAGCAGCAATGGGGCCCCGGGCCCCGGCACTTCCTACTACTAGAACCCCATCCATTGCATCCTTGCAGCATATCGCGTGCAGTTTCGGCGATTTGGCGGGACGGATGACCACGTAACGGCGTCGACGAAACATGCCCCATCAGTCACTAAAGCACCGCTCCATACTTACTACTCCAAACACGAAGCCACTGCGTGTCCGGGTCGAGGTTCCGTGGGTTATTAGCACGAGCCGCTGCTGTCATAAGTAATAAATTCCGTTACCTGTCCCCTCCATTTTTCCCCGTTATACACTTGTAAGCACTAACGATCCCCATCATGATTTTCTGTTAGTACTCGCCATCAACTTCGTTGCACAGTCACTAATAGCCTCACTGGTATAGTTACGAAGAAGCCTAAACCATCCGCGCTTCCTCCCGGATGGCCATCGCCTTTCCACAACAAGTGTTCCCAACGAGACTGCCACCACGCTAATAACCCGCAAACCGTCAAAGGTGTTTACCAATGCCGTGGTGTTCCCGGAGGGTTCTACTGCGAGGGTACATACAAGATCGCATCCACCCGAGCGCGCGAGACAGAGCACTATTTGCAAGAAATGGCCATGGCTCGTAGATCGGCTGAAGAAGAACAGAGAAAGCGCAAGATATCGGAAATGAGGCGGCCTGAGCTTGGGGCGCGACGGGGAGGGACGAACATGGCTGACAGGAGGATACCAGATGAGCGGGACTGCCGACCTGGGTATGGACAAGCTCCTTGGAGCCCTACGAGAGGCACGGAAAACAGGAGACCTCAAGCTTATGCACCATATTCGGGTCATCGCCCTTCACAGTCCGAAATAGAGTCGGAGTACAGGACTGACCAAATCCTGATGCATCTCTATCCCGAACGAGAGATCCGACCAAGATGGTGAGCGACAGGCTAGTCTATCAGAACTGATGCTCATCAATTCGTAGGATATAATCAACACACTTCACGAGTCTCATGAGTCCTCGCATTCTATGTTATTTTTGGGCCATTTCAGAGCCAGATTGATGCTAATATGGTATTCCCGACACGACCTTACATACATATATCCTATCAGGACACTACACATATTTTATATTTTACACTTGCACCGTGTCACTTATACTTCATTGACCACGAAGGAAACTAAATTCCAATTCAAGATGCACCATGCTGGACCAGTGCTGCTGCCTTCTGTGACCTGGGTGTGATCGGAAATGGGAAGGGTTTCGGGTGGATACAAAGAGGCTCGTGAAGAAGAGCGGCACGCATTTAGCTCAAACGACCTACATGACCATATCGACGTGTAATGGGGGATGGCATTGATTTCGCGCCCGAACTTGTCTACAACCTTCTTCACGCCGAACACAGCGAGAACGGACACCATAGCAAACTGCTCAGCGAGATATTGATATTGGACTCTCCCAACATAAATCCTGAGTCTTGCTTAGCGTTCTGGTCACTTGAAGTGTTTCAGCTGAAATATCATCTTCCGAGTCCATATTGTTGCCGTCCAAGGCTGTCCGAAAGTGTTCCGTTTTCATCAGGCATGAACATAAAGGGTTCAGGTGTAGTAGATCCTTTCATCGTGTGCATCGTCCTGTCGAAGTCCATCAGATCATCAAAGCAAGAACTTACATCATGTTGTCAGAGACGATAGTGTTTAATATCGCCGAACCATCTTACGGATTAAACCAAAGTTACCCTTAGGTAACAAATATCCGTTGTATACACCATCTTTTGTTGCCATCGTGCGGTACCCCTGGACAGCTCGTCAAGCCATGTTCTATGAGGGGATGTTCTCACCCAGTGGCGTGACTGGCACATTACAAGACTTCGTGATATATGGCTTAAGGTGGACCATGAATTCCCCGTTGCCTTCCCGGTGCATCAAATGTCTTGATTGATCTCCGCCTGAACTGTATTTGAGACTTTAGGGAACACGACCACTACCATCATGAAAGCCAACAGTGTTGATGATGACTACAGAGATATCAGCGAGATGAAGTACGCTATTAGATGGATACGATGAGAATCGTTTCATCGCCATCAGCATTCTTGCTGTGAAGATGGAACATAAAACACAAACCTGCGTATGTTGTACCTGCTATGATTTAATCACAGCCTCCTAATGCGGTGCTGTGTCATCAGCATCGAGCGAAGATTAACAGATCACCCAATGCCCCGCAGAGGATTAAGCATGCCATTGTTTTTATATGGCTGTCCCGCGATTCGCGCGTAAGCTTTCGGCACTCTCGAGAAAACCTTTCAATGATTGAATTCATCATAGCTATTGATAACTGTCCACGGACTCACCTTTGTAAGCGCTAACCCGATCAGCGATGGAAGTAAAACAATGGTTCCGCGGAACCTTTTCATAACTGTACGCAACTTGACGTCGTGAATCTGATAATTTCGATCATATACTTTCGGCGGAAGAAAAAACGCTAGATCGTGGCGATACTCCCGTTCGTGGGCGAGCTTCCATTTCGTGCAGAACAGTCAAGTGACAGATCATCTGATGGACCTTGCTGAGCTGGAGGTCCCGGTAGGCGTAATGAATCCAGACCAAGACGTTCGTGGACAATCGAGAAACTCCTTCGAATTTAATTTCTCGCAGTGGGGTGACTGAAATCAGCCAACAGAGTATAGGAACGTGGATTTGGCTCAAATCAGAGACAAAATGAGGTAGAAGAGCTGCCATCTCTTGACAGCCTAGAACATGGCCTGATATGAATAGCTTAACATAACCGATCAGTGGACAAAACAAAAAAGCTGAACTCAGACATATTACATACCCAACAGAGCTCATAGACCCCTCTAGTAAAACGGACTGGATCGGGTGATGCAATGCACATTGCTCCATCTAGCAAAGTCAGCAAAAACGCGAAAAGATGCACAATCGTCAATCAAGGAGCATAAGCAGAGGCATGTAAATCTGAGTTGTGAATTACCCCATCGACCCAAGTCGAGCGCTCAACGTTAACGCTGAGCTATAACAAAACGGAATAACAATATACTGTACAAACAAACAAACATGCAATAAGTATTATCACTATACAGCGCACAACAAATGAAGCAAACGGGATAGAACGTTATAAGTCCATGCATGGACGATGCTCCATCACCCATGGGTCCTCTTGTTAGATGATTCGGCTTCATCTAGCGACCTCCTGCGCTTGTTCCTTCCTACATATGAGGGCGGTACGATGAAGTACTTTTCGATGGCAGGCCTTTGAGACCTCGATGGCTGAACCGAGTACCCTCCCATCGTGGGACTCGTTGGATTGGAATGTACGAGAGTCTCGATAGTCATACTAGATCCCCCGAGTCCTACGTCTTTCGGTGGTTTCTTTTTGTACTAGACGATATTAGCTACAGTGTCTGAGATACACAAAAGAAGACGCACGGTTTCCAGTTCAGGTTTACCACGCCACTTTGCGATCGCTTCACAGAAGCGCAGTGCTGCTCTTTCAACAGGCTCGGCAGGGTAGTGCCATGCTAGATCTTCCATATGCGTGGATAGATCTGGCGTTAAAGAGGGTATCGTATAGAACTAGGGGCAGAATAGAACCTCAGCCATCATTTCGAAAGGGATGTGAAGCAAAGCTCACCCTCCTGAGGCGCTCATCCATTTCAGATTCAAATTCAGCTTCAGCGCCCTCTCTTCGAATGGGCGTGCCGTTTCGCGCAGCACGCAATGCAGGAAACATGATTCTTGTCGCTTCTTTGAGACTAGGCAAGTCGTCGGGTTCAAACCATTCGAATGCAGAGTCTGCGTCGTCCTGTGGGTCGATTTGACCCAGATGACCAAACCCGTCATCAGTGATGCCCAAGCCCACTGATAGAAGACATTCAACAGCCTCCAGACCCCACCACCCTCCGGTGAGGTAACCCTCGAGGGTAGCACGAGCGAGCAAGCCCGCGAGAAGCATGTACCATTCTCGTGAAGGTCGCAATGGAGGCGCAGGGGGTGCTTCGATAGTTTGAGATCTTCGGGATGAAGGTCGAGGTGACGCTGGTATTTGACTAGGCATCTCTGCGCTTCGTTGCCAGTCGCTTTCATAATCATCATCGCCAAGCTCCTCTCCAAGTTCTGTTGCGACAAGCGCAGAAAGCCTCAAAAAGCGCGGAATGAGCTCTGAAAGCCGAGTGTTCCCAGCGCCAGCACCCGATTGCTCTCCTTCTGAATCAGGCAAGAACCACTTCGACTTCCGGCGCAACGCGCTGCCATCGACTCCCGGATGGGCCAAGCCCGATCCAATACCAGGGCCGTCTTGCCAGCCAGCAATACCACCTCCACTACCACCCATACTTCCACCCGAGCCGCCTGGTCCGCCGTCCCAGTCTCCAAAGCTTCTGGGGCCCATTGCAGCAGGCGGCGGGCGTGCTCGACCGGACCCGCCTGGTGCTTTGACAGAGTGTTTGGCTTCGACGCAGATTTCACAGCCAGTATGAAGATGTCGTGGGCACCGCAAGCCGGGGGGTGAATTGGCGGTCGAGGGATCAGCGCCCTGCATGTACATGGCGTATACACGACTGCTGGGCATAAACTTTGACCTTCGGTTCTTTAAGATAACGTCGTCAATAATAGATATGTTGATTTTGGAATTGGGAACTCACACGAGACTGCACCATTTGTGGTGCTTGCATTGGAGAAGTGGGTGCACGAAAATCACCTCTGGGCAAAAGAGATGTCTGAGGAAGGGCTGCAGCTGATACCTGCGAAAGTAGGACGACTGAAGGAGGAAGGCTACCGATAGCTCCTTGCACAGAGGACATGCTACTTCCCCTGCCGGATACTGGGGACGCCTTCTGCGTTGCAGGAGAGTTTCCTGGACTTAAACCGTTTGAAGATGCTTGATCTGAGCCATTGCTAGCCACAATAATCGGTGGAGGATGGTGATGATGTCGGTATGGAGGGGTGGGCGCTTGACGCGCAAATAAATCATTGATAACAGTCCCCAATGCCAACCGTAAACGAACACCGTTCGGTAGAGTGTGCGGGTGGTGAGATGTAGCACGCTGGGGTGATTGGTGTGATTCCGGACGCTGTGGGGATGTAGGTGGTGTAGATAGATCATCGTCGAGGATAGGGTGCACAGGAGGAGGCTGGTCGAGCATTGATGTGACGACCTTCTCGAGACCGATAGCACGGAGTCTTAGAGTCCTTGCAAGGGTCAAGTCCTGTTTCTGCCGACGACTGTCCTCATCCTCGTTATGAGGATGACCTGGTCCACCTTCTCTGGCTTTGAGCATTTCAACATTTTCACCGTCACTTGAAACTTCGTCATCTTCCTCGTAGGACTCCGGGCGTTCACGATGACGATAATTATGGGAGGAAGGACCTCCTGTTCGGTCGGTCATTCCAAGCTCAGCACGGGCCTGGGTAAATCGGGTCCGGCCATGAACCCATAACATATGATCTATTATGAGAGTCCGGGTAGATTTCTCCCTTGGAGGGATGGAGTGTAGATGATGTGCATGTTTATGAGCTGGGGCCTTGAAAGCACGTGGACCGTTGGTTGGATGTGAAGTAGATGAGGATGCGAAGATGGGCGCCTGATATGTTGTTGTCCTTGGAGGCACTGCTAGTTGTGGTACATTGAATGACGGAAAGTGACCTTGATTCAAAAGTGCGGAAGAAGACGCGCTCCCGTTGTGCAAGGATGAATAGCTCATGTCATGGATCGTGCATGCATGCAGGGAGTAATTTGATCCTATCCTGGCCGCTGCACTTCTCGATAATTCCGAACAATGTTAGTTTGCTGTTGATGATGTTCGTGAGGAATCGGAACACCCCGATAATCACTTCAATTTTCTTCTCCCAGCAGCAACGTTGATACCCCAAGTTCTCTTTTCAGTATGACAGCGTGGAAGGCGCAGCCAGTAGCCTCAACTTCATGGTCCAATTCTCACTGGCAGCTATCATTGAATTTGACTTGCTATTATTATTAGTAGTTCCTGACAGCCCCCTGGTCAGATGAGCTCGGGGCCTCTCGGGACATGTCGCGGACACTAAGGTGAGTTTCAGACGATCACGATCAAGCCCCCTCGAGCTGGTTGATCCAATGAAGACAGTCTCACAATACCTGCCAAGGTCCTGAGGTCATACCAAGTCCTCGTCATCGACATGGACACACCAACGCGGAACCCGGTCCCGCCAATCGGCAAAGACCAGTATTCATTGTAGTTGCCATTTCCGTCAAGCGGATGTATAAGTAGGTTTCGTGCGTCGGCCATGCTATCCCGCCCGACTCACCCATCTACCAAACGCGAAACTGTCTCGCAATTGACTCCTGACAACCAAACAACTGTGCTATACCGAAAGCCGCCGCTACTTCAGATCCTGCGGCAAGTCCCTCGGTGGCGGATCGGTTATGTGGCATATTGGTTGCATATGTCAAATAGGGAGAATGTGCGTTTCCGACAATCATGCTCTATGCTCTAATTTATCTCAGGTCAGTCATATCTTGTACGCCAAGCATTTCTGAAACACGGGCTCCGCGGCTTTTAGCTTGTTCGACCACTGTTATCAAACTACAGGGGTTGATGGTCTGCAAGTAGTTAATGTTGACCTTGTCTTAGTGTCAATGCCCAGGTCAGAGTTCAGTCTACTCCGTATTCTTTGTGACTGATTTGGGTACTGGTCAGGTACTTCAAGTTATCTGAGCACCTTCACCATGAACATTAATAGCTCATATGCATTCGTAGCCTAGCCAAACCGCAGGCAGGAGCTCCGGTTCCTTCGCTTTGATCATGCGCTTTATCTCGAAGATACCATGATCCGTAGGATCATACTTTGTTGCCTGAGCAAGCTAGAGTTTGGATTAAAAAGGTTTTCTGATCGGTATTCAACTTCAAACCGTTCGTTGATTTGGTGCCTCCCCAGCTCGGGGCCACAGCGGTCGAGATTAATCATTGTGCATCAAGTCAACGCGTTGAGAATGCGGCCTCCGAACTTTGTTATCGCTACGCCCAACGTCAGCAGAATGGTGACTATGCCGCCGCTTGCCTTCACGATTTCAGCTATTTTGACATCGTTTTACATAATTACCGACTCCTACGAAAACTGTTAGGCGCGTGTGGTTTCCGACACACGCACTAGCGCTTGTCTACAAGGGTCTACCTCTGCCAGTCATTTTCGATACACGTTAGCACCGGTCTACAAGGACCTACCTGTCAGTCATTCATCACTGTCACGTCGCAGAAATACACCTTTAACGCCGATGTCACGCACACCATCGCGGGAGCCCTGAGGGGCCCTCCAGGCCAGACTTCTCATGTCGGCTTTCTTGGCTCAGGGTGTTTGCAATCCCCCTCGTCGACCAACGTTATATTTGAGACTGCCAAGGAGAAAAAACTACTCCAAGGTTGTCCTTCTCCAGTTCTCAGGCTGGCGTTTTGTCAGTCAATCTCGACATCACCTGCGAGCTGTCAGCGCCGCACAAGACTTAGTCACCTTTAACTCCGATATCAACCAAGCTTTGCGGGGGCACTTAGGGGCACGTTAGCCCAGACTTTCTCATGTCGCATCTTTCCCCCAACGATATTTCTCGGCTTTGGAATCGCTCGCACCCCTTTTGTCATTGAACTATATCCCGGAAAAAGGTTTACACCGAGGTCGTCTCGGGTGTCAGAACCAACCTCTCACAATGTCTGTCGGGCTACTTGGTGGCCGCAGGTCTCAATTCGGCAGCAGTTGGCTCCGTCATGGCTGCGGCAGTATGCCGCCCTCTCAATTTGTCCTCTTTGCTGTGCCCGGGGAATGACTAAACCCCTCCCATCACCACCCGTCCACCATTGCAGAAGAGCACCGGAATTTCGACAGGAGGATCGTCGTTTGCGACGCATCAGTAAGGCGCCAAAAACGCAGGAAATGAACCCTGGATATGACATCCATAACATAGGACCCAGCGGATTGGTTCCAGATGATGTCACAGTGCGCCCTAGTATCTACCGAGCTGACATTTCTGTCCCATAGGACGCTACTACAACAAAATACTGCGGCGCCGCCAGTCTAAGGGTTTCAAGTACGGCCACGCCCAAGATCTCGTCAATCTACGGACGGACCTTTACCGTCCATTGGAGGAGGCTATGATGACCCAACGATAGTCACGGATACAAGTGCATGTCAATATTATTAGCGCACTCAGGCTAGTCAGTGTCCATTGCATCGCAATCGCCGACGCTCGATCGATTTTCCTATTCGCCAATATCTTAATGTGACAGGACAGACTAGCACCATTGACAAGTCTACCTCGAGCTCTTACTAAGGCCCTATCTACCTACCTACCTCATGCACGATTGACTCATTGACATAGCCCATCCAATCTTACTCAGACATCACGATCCCGTAAGCTCGCCGGTGTCTTTAAGTTCAAGCTTACGACGGGGAGGTTGGTCCCGCGACAGTCAACAACATCAACCATAAGTAAAAATATTCGAACCCACAACCAATCACTCAAATCAACATTGATACACACAACATCGTACAATAGGCCAGCTGCAGCGCCGCCACACGACAGGATCGCGATTGTGCCTCGAAACTTATATATATATATATATATATCAATGTTTACAATTGGGCTGTGTAAAAAAACTAGTATGCATATGCCAAGTTTCTCCGTGGTTGCGGAACGAAGTCAACGGCGCTCACACAGCTCCAGCTTCATAGCCTATGCGTGTTTTCCATCTTGCGAAGAAGGGGAGAAAGAAGGTTATGACTATGAGGGTTCGTGGTTAGTCAAGTAGCGTCTTCGTCGGGGCAGTGCAAAAAGCCGAGGGGGGTATCCGTTTGAACCTTTGAACTTTGCTAGGCATGCGGCTCTGTTTGATCGGGCCCGAGGCGGTGCTCATGATTGACACTAGTCAACTAGGGCAGGTATGCACAGCCGCAGCTGCCCGTGGTAGAACGTCGATAATGAAACTTTGCGCAAAGGTGAGCCCGGGCGAAATGATTGGTATCTTTCAAATTTGGTTCCGTTGGCTACAGCATTTGACTCCATAATGAAAGAGTTCAAGCAAGATAATCATTGAAATTTTAGTTCCATTGTATAAATATAGATGATCAGACCGACGTCCGCCGTATCTAGGATGACTACGCTACAAGGATGAGGATCACGGGGACGAATAATAAAGGTGGAGCGGAGCACACACTACAATGATACTTAGGTACGATGACTAGCATACGAAGTTGCATCAATAACATGATAAGTGACAAGACGAGAAGCGAGAGGGTAGTATAGCAAAATCTTGAGTCAAGAGAAACCGCAGAAGCGTCCCAGGCGTATGGTAAGCAGTCTTGGTGGTGAGATGTATAGAGATTAAACAGATCATGTCGGTTATTACGGGGGCTGCTGCGTAGTCGAGATGGCGAGGATGGAAGAGCATTATACCATAACGCTCATGCTACTCATGCTAGTCCACCCGTTTTCCTCGGTCTTGGGTACAGGGCCACGGTCAGACTCTTGCTTTGTGGCATCGAGAATTCTCTGGCAGTCAGCACCGCCCTCAGAACGCACTACAGGAATTTCGATGAGCGATAAACGGAGCATAAAGAAGGCACAGCACATACAATGTCTGTTCAGGGCATCCATTCGCGCAAAGGTCTTATTGCAGCCATCGCACGTGAAAGGACGATAGTTGGAATGAAGCTGTTCATGTCGCTTGCAATCGTGCTGCCTGGCAAACCCTTTGCCACATCCCGGCCACTTGCACTGGAATGGTCGCTCTTCATTGTGCGAACGCATATGACCTTAAAGAGTTGTATCAATATCATGCATGAGCCGATATGAAATTTAATTACCTTTCAAATTGAAGCTCCTCGTAAACGTGCTGCCACACCCAGGTACTGGGCACAGGAAGTTGGCATCCTGCTTGCGGCGCCGATGACTGGCGCCAGCAGTGCGTTCACTGGTCACAGTCTGCTTCGTAACGGAAATCTGGCTCGCCATGGGCTGAGCAGGGTCAGGACGAAGCATGGATTGAGGACGTCCAGCGAGGGACACGCTGGGTAGATCCTCGTATCGCACACGTGGGCTGGCTGATGGG